CTCTAAAGGAAATTAATCAACATTGAAAAAAGCTACCAAAATTAATAATACTGTGGTTTTAAAGTATGCCTGTATTTTGTACTGAATACGATATAATATAATAACCTTAAAGTAGTTCAACCATTTAAGGAATAGTTCAGTAATGACGCTTCCTTAGGATTTTTCACTGAGCTACACTTTTGAATAAATGTGTATTATGAATTTTTTTTTAAGAGTTAAGAGTCAATCTCTAAAGTTTAATAATATTTCTCTTTCTTTCTTTATTATTTTGAAAGCAGTCACTTTTCTCATCTCCAATAACTGTTAAAGTGTTAATTCTTTGCTAGTTAGAATAATATGAACAGCCATCAGTGAGGATTTTGACACTGTAATGTAAGGGTAAATCAGATAGAGCTTTAAAAGGATTAACATTCCGTTTTCTTTTACATTCTTTGATGTCGCATACAACATCGTCGGCCTGAGAGGCTGTGCAGGCCTTAGAATATCACAGTAATAGAAACATTCTGAGAGGACAAGAATTCCTAAAACAAAGAAAGAACGGCTGCTAGCTGACAACAAAAAAGCATTCGCAGGTTATGATATCTGCCAAAGAGGGTTTTACTGAGTACTGACTTAGGAGGATGTCCACACTTTTGCACATGCCACATTGTTTTTTTTATTTCATCAAATATAAAGTAACTGTGCATTAATGTTAGCAGAAAAAAATACATTTTTAAAGTAATTTCTGCATTTTCACTTCAAAAATCAACAAAATGTGTCATTTGGCCCAATTCTTTGCCTAGGCTACAACTGTAATCTTGAACTAAAGGGGATATTCTGCACCTCAGAGGTTTCAAAATCTGCATTTAAAATGTGTTGGAGTGTGACTGTCTAATTACTTACAGTTTGAACTGTAAAGCCTACATTTTTCTTTTTGCCACTAGCAAATGCTTATAACCCTATAACCATGACTGCAGAGCAAATGTGGGTGGGGAATGTGTCACCTGACACTTTTTTTGTGCTGTGAGAGCAGTTTGTTACTTCCTGGTGCACTCTCTGAGCACAGGTCACTACAGTCTCTCTGTACTTTTATTACTGAGCATATTTATTTCACAACAGCAATGGGCAGCTCTGAGTTTCAAATCAATGTTATCTAACACTCAAACATCTTTAAAAGATTTTAAAATTATGTTAGGAATTCAAATATTTTCTTACCTTTTACAGAAACAGAAACAAGCTGCAAGGAGCACTCGATGAAAAATCAGTAATAGATCAGTGTCACCCTGCTACCTAGGTACTTATGTTCATATTCACAGATTGCTGCATTCCAGAGACCACAGCATTGTGAAAGTAACTGGATGTTGGAATTATGGAGTTATAACAAAACAGGGTTATTATAAAAAAATTGGCAAGGTTGAATGTTGGGACAGGTTCTGTTATGGCAAAAAAACTGAGATAAGAGGCCAGTACAAATTTTAGGGGCCCAAAATAACTGTGCATAGTGCCAAAACTGAAACAAAGGAAGAGGCTCTTTTGAAACTTTAGCTGCAATGGGAAGTGTGATTTCAGAGAAATGAGAACATTTAAGCAGAAGTACAAACACTCAGTTCTCTTTATTGGGAAAAGTGGAATAAACTAATCTTCTTGCCTCTAAATGTAGAGTGATACTGTTTTCATTTTTCCACCTCTACAGCGCTGTGAAAAAAGTATTTGCCCCAAGAGTGCATAGAATAGAATAGAATTCAGAACCATTGGTCAACTGTGCTTGCCCACAGAGTAATTAGACCTCCACATTTAACCCACCTGTGCAGTGAAACACCCACATACATACATGCACACTAGAGAACACACACACTAGGAGGGTGGTTAGCACACTTGCCCAGAGCAGTGGGCAGCCCTATCCGTGGCGCCCGGGGAGCAGTTGGAGGTTAGGTGCCTTGTTCAAGGGCACTTCAATTGTGTTCTGTCGGTCCAGGGGATCAAAGCGTTGACCTTCCGGTCACAAGGCTGGTTCTCTAACCTCCAGCCCATGACTGCCCCCTATGACTCATGCAGGAGGTCACAAAGAACCCAGACAAACATCTAAAAAACTGCAGGCCTCACTTGTCTCAGTTAAGGTCAATGTAGATGATTCCACAATCAGAAAGACACTGGGCAAAAACGGTTATATGGAAGAGTTGCAGGTTGCAAACCACTGCTGACCAAAAAGAACACAAAGAGTCTTTTCTCGTTCGCCCCAAAAAATCTAGATGACCCCCAAGACTTTTGGAATAATATTCTGTGTAGTGATGAATCAAAGGTGGCATTTTTTGGAAGACATGGGTCCTGTTGCATCTTGTGTAAAGCTAACACTGCATTTCACCATAAAAGCATCATACTAACAGTAAAACATGGTGGAGGTAGTGTAATGGTCAGGAGCTGCTTTGCTCCTGATAGAATGATAAATTCTGCAGTCTATCAGAAAATTCTGAAGGAGAATGTCCGCCCGGACGTTTGTGACCTAAAGCTCAAGTTGGGTTATGCAGAAGGACAATGATTCGTTCGAATTCGAATGATGTTTTTTTAAGCTGCATTTTGTATTTACTCATGCTGTCTTTGTCTCATATTAAAATTAGTTGGATGATCTGAAACAGTTAAATATGACAAATTAGTAGACTATAAAAGACATTGGGGAGGCTGGATTCAAGGCTGGATAACAAAGCTCCTGAAAGGGATATGAAAAATAGACTGTCATTCTACACTAGCCATTGGTTTGTCCATAAACATGACTGCAGAGCAAATGTGGGTGGGGAATGTGTCGTCTGAAACTTTTTTCTGCTATGAGAGCAGGTTGTTACTTCCTGGTGGAGTCTTTCAGCCCAGGCAACTACAGTCTGTCTGTATGTTTATTACTGGTTATATTTATATAACCAGTAATAAAAAAAAAATGGGCATTGCAACAGAAATGTAGCCAAGTTCATCTGCTGTTGTAGAAAGCAGTCATATGCCTTTAATGAAGGATTATGCCTATGGATTGCTGAGGTAAGGAGTTCACAGGTTTTTTGTGTTCTTATCATTTGTGGTCATCCTCTTGAGGTATAACAGCATAAACAACAAATGATATAATGATGATAGACACTTAAAGTTTTAAAAGTCGGACTGTGATTCATTTTGTACAGTATGTACTGGGTGTGTTGACCCTGATGGACATCATTTGGCTATGATTTAAACTCAAATACAACCCAACAACTTGACAGGTAAGCACGAATGATAAAACATACTGCTGTAAATTAATGGTATGTAATCCTTTAAATCATAAAAAATAGAAAACTGTTCAGTAGCATTTGTAGCAAAGCAAAATGTGGTGCAGAGAGATGAGTAATAACTAGATACATTAAAAGAATCATTAAAAGACAAGAACTGAGTCTAACAAACTTCAGTTTCTATGCTAATAAATGCTAAATGTGCTAAGAAGTTCCACTGCAGTTCAATAAGTTACTCAGTAGTTAAAGGGGAATCAGTTTTTCAAAAATTCTGCATAATTAAATGGTTAACAAAATCATTAAGAGTGGTTTGATGTGAAATGCTCTGTTCTAGAGAAACTTACAGAGTCAGAATTGATCACTGTGGTGATAGAAACCAGACATCTAAAGAGTGTAATGCCCCTAAAAGCCCCATGAAAAATCCAGTCAAAGAAATCTTATTTTTTCAGATTTACCAGCATTACCAGCATTTCATTACACATAAAAACTTAGAACACATATGTAAGTTCACTGGTCATTTTGGATAGACAATTATATATATATATATATATAATTTTCTATCAAAATATATATAATAATATATATATATATATATATAATATATATATATATTGTATTGTAAACATTGCAACTCCTGGTTCCTATCACTACCACTGTACAGAATCTGATTCAGTAAGTTAATGTACAATTAATCATTTTACATCAGATCACTCTGAATGACTTTGTTTATATCTCAAAGACTTAATTATGCAATTTTGAAAGATCATTGAAATTTCTCTTTAAGGAGGTTTTTTTTTTTGGAAAGGAATTTTTACTTAAGACATAATTTCACCAATATAACAATACTTTTACATGTGTATGGGTTTAGAATGCTCTATCCCACTCTACTCTTTTACCATTCTCTTTAAGTATTTATGTTAGAAATGAAAAATTTTATGATATCTACATCTGTTGTAAGCATGTTTCTTTGCCTCTGCGGTAGTCTCCAAAGTGGGATTTTCTCATTTAAAAACTAGTAAAACTCCCTTCTGATGATGCATCTTCAAGGTGGAAGGAACTTTTTTAAAAAAGTGATATGAACGATAAGTTATGGAAGTGATATAGAAGATATGTTTGATTTTTTTCCCATTAGCTGGCCAATGCAGAATGAAGCCAGGAAGCTGTAATGTTTATGAGTGCTTCTCACAGAATAACAGATCAATGCATAAATTACAAAGATGTTAGAGTTTGCTCAGTTCATGCATTGTTATCATAGCAAAAATACTTTAAATGTAATGGCTTCTACTACTCACAACTACAAAAACATGTCCTAGCATTTAGAATGTAGTTTGTCTTAGCTTTAAACATCTAAGTAAATGTAAACATCTCAATAAATGTAATGTGTCATTAGTATTGCCATTAGGGAGTTTACCACCAAGCATCAAACTTTACCGCTAAACATCAAAAGTTTTTTTTTTTTTTCTGCTATATTGCAAGTTGCCTGTAAACACTGGTCTGAGATTACATTTGTGTCTTGCATTTATTGCCCAGCATTCCCAAGCAACTTCACAAAGGAGTTTCCAAAGACACACACACACACACACACACACACACACACACACACACACACACACACCATCTAAACCGCTCATCCTTCTGGGTCGCGGTGGGGTGCTGGAGCCTATCCCAGCTATCATTGGGCAGAAGGCAGGATACACCCTGGACAGGTCACCAGTCCATCGTAGGGCAGACAGACAGACACATTCACACCCAGCATGTCCAATTGACCTGACTGCATGTCTTTGGACTGTGGGAGGAAACTCACGCAGACACAGGGAGAACATGCAAACTCCACACAGAAACAACCCTGGTCACCCAGCTGGGAATTAAACCCAGGCCATTCTTGCTGTAAGGCGACAGCGCTACCCACTGCGCCACCATGCCTGTTTCCAAAACCAATTAAAACCAAAATTCCTGAGTTTGCCAGAGGCCTGTGATTTGAACAGTGATTATATTTATGGTGGTACTATGACTAAAAAAGAAAAGCAATGATAAAAAATTCAGAAAAATTCAGTGCATGGCCCCAAACACATTTGGTGTTTGTTGAGGCCTGAGCCCAGTCAACTTTTCTTTGTATGATCTGCAATTTTTTTTGTCTATTTCCTTTTCTTAGTAGTATTAATTGGTCTTCTCACAGTGGAAGGATGGATAGAAACTAATTTTCTCCTCAGATGAAAGCTTTAACTACTGTTTATCTGATGGGGACAGTGTTAGAATTAGATTTTTGCACATCTTTTAATCATTTTTTGAACTCCATTTTTGGAAACTTCAGTTTTTCTTTTCCTTTGACTTCCTCCTTCCTTATGCAAATGGATTAGTTTATATCTCCTTAGAAATACACACACACACGAGACACTTATCCTTCTGGGTCATGGGGGGAGCTGGAGCCTATCCCAGCAGTCACTGGGTGGAAGGCAGGATACACCCTGGACAGGTCTCCTTAGAAATATCTCCTGAAAATGAATAACTTGTGCTTAATGGAAATGAAATAAATGAAGGATGGTCTCTGACTTTTGCACAGTAGTGTATGTACGTATGTATGAGTTTATAAACTTGAACATTTCCCTGAGCATTTGGAGCAACTTCTTTTAACTCCTTTAACTTTAGTTGCATTGTTTTCATGTGTAGCGATGCAAAATGGAGACTCCAATTCCAGAAGTGTTGTTGGATATTCTTCAGGATTTGGGAGAAAAGGATCTGAAATTGTTTTGGTGGCATTTGATCAACGGGGTGGAAGGTTTCAGGCACCTTCCAAAGGCTCAGCTGGAGAATGCAGACAGACAAGACACGGTGGATAAGATGGTGCAAAGCTATGAACACAGTGGGGCTGTGGAGATCACACTAGTCATCCTAAAGAAGATAAACCAGAACCAACTGGCTGAGGACCTGAGGACCAGACTCAAAGCTTGTAGGATATTCATTATTCAAACTTGCTACATTTAGGACAAAACCTATAATGCTTTCAGTAGATGGTGTGTTTACAGTGCTTATACTGTACCGCTATGCACTTTCAGGTAGAGACAGATGTCATGAAGTAGCTGTTAAGAGTCCAGCACCCTCCCCCACTGCAGCTCAAGACAGAGCCATAGGTAGTGCCATCACTGCAGGTATATCACTGTCACTTTTACTAATCTCAGTATATCAGTGTCCTGTTTAAGTATAATTGTAATTTATATATACATGTCACCATACCACCACCTGACATGTTATAGACATGGTTTCTAATAATAATCTGAAATGTATTACTTGAATAATTTGATTGTAGATTGTTATAAGGATGCACCCTATAAAGTAATGTTTAACAGGATTAAAGTGAGCATTTTGAGGTTATTTGTTTGCGTTGAAGTGTTTCTGAGATCATTTTCTTTTAAGCATTGAAATTCATAATTTATTGGGTATACTATATTCAGAAATGAACCTTTCACATCCACTTAAAATTTCCATTTATCATTATATAAAGGTTAAAACTGAGCTACAACAATGATGAATTTATCATGTTTTGCTCTTTCTATCTACTGTTATTAGATAACAAAAAAGTGTAAAGAGAAATATGAGCCAAAAAAATAAATAAATAAATAAATAAATAAAAAATCTAAAAATATTTTTTATAAAACCTTTTGTAATAGTTATGATAAAACTTTTTACAATATTTTTGATTTTGTTATATCTAATATATGGTACAGGTAAGGTAAAATATGGTATGGTATGGTATGGTATAGGTAAATAAAGTTTCCAAAATGAGCAATACCACAGAAAAAATACTTTTGTTTCCTTAAAGAACACTTCAATGGGTAGGTCTTCAAAGACCACACTGGCCCCTGGCATGGACAGAGAGTTAAGAATGATTTAGGAAGCTGTATTTCTGCAGAGTACTTTAATACATTGGTAAACTGATACTGAACATTGATTGTGTATGAAAAAGTTTAAACACCCCCGGTCACTTTACACTTTTTTAATTTTCTTTTTTTTTTCATATGTTTTCTAGTATTATTTATTATTGCTTATATTACTTTATTTTTTCCAACAAAAAAAGTCAAATTCAGAAGATAAAAACCAATTGTGCATTAAAATGTGCAGAAGTGTGTTCTTTGTAGAGGATGTGCTTCACTTAGAAAATCAACAAATCATGTCAATTGACCAGGGCACCCAAACTGTTGCATAAGGCTGTTTGTGCAGCTGCAAACTTCCAAAATAATTTGTGAATATACGCTGTAGTGAGCAATTGTAAATCACATGTTAAAGGGTTAAGCCTACAAAAATAGCATATCAGTAGAAATATTGTTTTTTTCTTTGACACCAGAGGTAAAAAATAAAATCTTAAAGGCAAAGCTTCAATCAAGAACATCTCTCTCAAGCTCCCAAGATCAGATGTACATCTGTGGGAAAATGCAGTGCAAAGTGTTCTGTGAAATGGTCATAATAGTCTGTGTTATTGTTTCATAAATTATTATTATTTTTTTAATCTGGAGTACAGTTATACCCCATAGCAGGTTTTAATAGGGAAAATTTCATATTTTAAAGCCTCAGTGTTTTCATCAATGAAAGTTCTTTTTCTTTTTTTGTTTCAGGCTTGTTGATGGCTCTACTATTTCAGTTCACTGTATAAACGCTTCGCATTTTTAGCAGTCAGTTAGTAGGTTTTACAAGCATCCATAGTAAATTTACCATTATTTTAGACGTATTATGAGCTCAGACTGTGGTCAAATACATGCATATTTTCGGCTTGTACACATCTTAATAAAGTTCAACATAAAGTTCAGTTCTAAAAGAGTCAATCCAGCTAGTCAGCATCTTCTGCCCAAGAAGGATTGATAAAAAATTGAAATAAAGCCATTGTAACAATGGATTAATTTGCATAACTTTTGTCAGAAGTGTGTTCACTGGTTGTCTCTTTTTCAGCAGCAGATTCAGTACAGAGTGTCCTGAGAGAGTGTAGAAGAAGCCTTGAGGAAACATATGAATGCATCTTTGAAGGAATGGCAAGAGAGAGAAAAACTGCTCTGGAAAACATTTACACTGAGGTTTATATTATTGAGGGTGAGACAAAGGTGATACATGGTAAAGATGAGATTTGGCCTACAGAACAAAAATGCAGAGCCCAATTCTCACGTGACAGTGCTGTTACCTTAAATAATATCTTCACTCCCTTGCTTACATATGAATCTAATGAAGAAAGAAAAGGGAGAAAAATCAGGACTGTGCTGACTAAAGGCATTGCTGGGATTGGAAAAACTGTTGCCGTTCAAAAGTTTATGCTTGACTGGGCCAAAGGAATTGCAAATCCGGACATAGATTTTATTTTTTGGTTTCCATTCCGGGAGCTAAACTTAATTAAAGATGACATATACAGTCTGTATAAACTGATGATTTATTTTTATCCTGAACTTGAGACAGTTACAGAAGCATTTGTCAAGAGGCTCAAACTTGTGTTTATTCTTGATGGTCTGGATGAAAGCCAGTTTGCACTGAATTTTGTCTGCAAAAATGTGTCTGATACAACAAAAGAAACAAGAATCAATGAGATACTGGTCAACTTGATCAAAGGAAAATTGCTTCCAAATGCTAATGTTTGGATAACCTCACGACCTGCAGCAGCCAGTCAAATTCCTTTTGAATACTTCCACCGTGTAACAGAAATTCAGGGATTCAGTGATGCTCAGAAAGAAGAATACTTCAGGAGGAGAATCAGTGACCAGGAAAAGGCAAACATAATTATCTCCCATATCAAACAGTCAAAGACTTTGCATAGCATGTGCTACATACCAGTATTCTGTCAGGTCTCAGCCACTGTTCTTAAGCAAATGTTTCACCAAAGCAAAAAGGAAATCCCAAAATCTCTGACTGAAATGTATGTACTTCTACTGCTCATTCAGACAGACATAAAACAGCAGAAGTATGAAAACAGCATGGAGAGAGATTCCAAAAAACTGCTTGAATCCAATAGAACCTTGATTCTCAAGATGGCTCAACTGGCTTTCAGACAGCTGATAAGGGGCAATGTGATGTTCTATGAAGAGGACCTGAGAGAATGCAGTATCGATGTCACTGAGGCCTCAGTGAACTCTGGGATTTGCACTGAGATATTTAAGGTTGAATCTGGATTGTATCAGAGGAAGGTCTACTGCTTTGTGCATTTGAGCTTTCAAGAGTTCCTGGCTGCTTTGTATGTGTTTTACTGCTATGTGTGCAAGAAGATGGAAGTACTGAAGTTTTTCTTACATGATAGTTATGAGCACGGTGACAGTGAGTTCTCTGGAAGTCTTTCTCAGTCTATTAATGCTCCACTAGAACAGTTGCTGGTAGGAGCAGTGGATAAAGCTTTAAGGAGTGAGAATGGGCACCTGGATCTTTTCCTCCGTTTCCTGCTAGGCATCTCGCAGGAGTCCAATCAGAGGCTCCTACAAGGCCTTCTGATACACAAACAAAGCAGCTCAGAGAGCATTGAGAAAACCATACGATACATCAAGAAATTGTTCAAAGGATATAAATATGAAGAATATGCTGAAGAATACCGCAGACATTGTATCTCAACTGACAAATCCATCAATCTTTTCCTCTGTCTTTCTGAACTGAATGACCAGTCTCTTGCTAGAGAGATTCATGAATATCTAAAATCTGGAACACGCTTAGAAGAGAAGCTCTCTGCTGCACAATGTTCAGCAATAGCCTACATGCTGCAGTCATCTGAGGAAGCTCTGGATGAGTTTAACCTGAAGAAATACAACACATCAATAGAGGGTTATAGGAGACTAATCCCAGCCTTAAGCAACTGCAGGAAGGCTATGTGAGTGTTATATCTAAATTAATTTAACAACTGTTATTATTTGAATGTTAATGACTGATTAGGACATTTAACATTCATGACATGACAATAGTACAGCCCTGACATCCAGTATATGCGTAATATATAACACACTATACTGGGCAAACAGTTCTAAAACAGTTCTCATTTGATTGTTTTCTTGATCTAAATACTGGGGAGTAGGCTTCAAAAACTTATATATTGGACTATTGGAATATTGGACAACAAGAAGGAAGAAATCCTTGCAACCATATTGGAATTAGTTCATGCTTAAGATCTGGGTTCTGTGTTTATTTTACTGTTGCAGACTAGCTGGTTGCAATCTCACCATAAACTTCTGTGAATTGTTGGCATTGGCTCTACAATCAGCAAATTCCTGCCTGAAAGAGCTGGACCTTAGTAACAATGACCTGCAAGATTCAGGAGTTGGGCTTCTTGTTGCTGGACTAAAGTGTTCACATTGCAACCTCGAGGTACTCAGGTGAGCTTTTGTAAGTTTAATCTTGATATGGGCTCATGCAGTTTTGCATTGTGCTATAGTCTCATGTAGACATGCATTGTGCTATAGTCTCATTTAGACATGCATTGTAACTTCCCATAAGACTTTATTGTCCTAGTCAGGTGATATATCCTTTAGAAACAACCAGTACAATATAAGTTGAGTATTTTGAGACCTTGCTGATTTAAATATGTGTAACTTGCAGAATAGTTTTGTAATGTTAGATGTTCTGCACACTGATCCCAGAGTGGACTAATTGTGCACAGCTGTGGTTATCTTCCATGTTTAACAGGTGACTAAATACAGCACTAGGAGTACAGCAGTAACAACCCTTTGTAGGCAGAGGAGTCAAACACTTGTTTCATATGCACAGAGTGATAGTTTTCTCCACTTTGCTATCACTTTGCTGTTATTCATACTAGCACTGTTAGCTACCTTGCTATCCAGCCCAACAAGACCTTAAATTTGTAGTATAAATTTATAAGAATACGAAGCAGTCAAAAAAAAACAACAACAATAAAATAAAAATACCACCATATCTGACCCAACACCTCTGACTTTTGAATTAATTACATTTTAGGCTTTATAATATTGCAATTATAACTATTTTAAATGTGAACTATTTGTATCTGTTAAGCAAAACATAATTTGTTAAACCCTAAGACATTTATATACATAAACAAGTAAACTTTATATAGACAAATCATTTTAATTATCTTTATTTGCATAATCTAACATGAAAATGAGTTTAATTTTAAAACACAATGCATTATCTGTTTAATTCAAATTTCTGCTGTATATTGTTATTTCTCAATTCCTTGCTTATATTCTGTACTATATTTACCTCTTACTATATTTTCTACATACTTTGCAGATTAGCCAGATGTAATCTCACTGTGGAGTCTTGCAAATCTCTCACATCAGCTCTACAATCAGAAAACTCTTCCCTAATGGAGCTGGACCTCAGTAACAATGACCTGGAGGATTCAGGGGTGGACATGCTCGCAAACGCACTAAAGAGTTTACAGTGTAAACTGAAGATACTCAGGTTCACTTCGAAATTAAAAATTCCATGTATTTAAGACACAGAGGAAGAGCAACTTACACATTTACACATTAGAGGGTCATATTGAGTTGGGATATGTATAGAATAGTCCTTTGAGTAAATTGTAATATCTGTCATATGTACTATCCCTTTGTAGATTAGTGTTCTGCAATCTTGGGGAACAGGTTTGTGAAAATCTGGGATCAGTTTTACAACAGGAAAACTCTTCCCTGAAAGAGCTGGACCTCAGTAACAATGACCTTCAGGATTCAGGAGTGAAGCTGATTGCTGCTGGACTGAAGAGTTCATATTGCAAACTGGAAATACTCAAGTAGGAATCTGTGAATTAATTCGGGAATGGTAAATGTTATAATAAATATTTAGAATGGTGACCAGCACATTTTATCTCAAACGGGATGAGTTTTATAGTGAATTATACTTACAGTGATAAACTAGCCACAAGTTTCTGAAAGAGTAAAGATCTCTACTGCCTTGGAGACATTTTAATAAAAGTACTTTAGTAGAAAGGCAAGGACACACCACTGCACATTAGAATACCACATAACATGACAAATAACATATCCTAATGTTATGCCAATGTCCTGTTACCAAAGTTAGCAGTTTAAGTTGTCAACTCTGATAACAGCCCTCAAAGGTATCATAGTTAGCTGTATGAAGTGTCAGTTTTATCAGTATGATTCTGATACATCCTCTTTGACAGTGTTTGTTCATATTTCACTGAATTTTGTGTTTATGGTTTCTGTGCCAAGATGGCAGTTCCCTAGCCTGTTTTGCCCTATGTAAATGTATTCTCTCTCACTTTCTGCTATTTTTCCCTTCCTTTCTCTAGATTATCAGGTTGTTTGGTCACAGAGAGGGGTTGTTCTTTTCTGTCTTCAGCTCTGACTTCACATTCCTCACACCTGAAAGAACTGGATCTGACCTACAACTACCCAGGAGAATCAGGAGTAAAGCTGCTCTCTGCTAAACTGGAGGATCCACACTGCAAACTGGAGACCCTCAGGTGTGTAAAACTCTGCTGGGTATGTACCATGTGTTCGTGTGCTGGAGCTAGAATTGCAGAATGATTAAAGGTTTGTGCAGACCAGTGGCCTCTCACTTAGTGAATTTGCCCTAAATGTACCTCTCCATCCTGCAAAGAGTTAAAACAATAAGCAGTGTATTCATAACCATTTAATGTAAAACTGTCTGCGAGGGAGCTTTTAGAGGCATTAAACTCTTCAGACATCCAGTTTCTATTACTGCCACTGTGAAAAATTTGGACTAATTTTGTCTGCTACACTGTATTAAAAAGCATTTGAATAAATATATTAATGTAGAAATGTGTATGTGTTTTCTTGTTTTTCTTTAGGGTGGAACATGGAGAGATAATCAGGATTAAACCAGGACTAAATAAATGTATGTTCACTGTGTTTCATCACACAGGTTTTTTTGTGTAATGGTAGGGTCATGCATATGCTCCATATAATCACTGTAAGAATGAAACCTCACATCATTAAAAGTGTAATTTTCAGGAGACGACAAAAACATTTTTAGCTTTTAATTAGGGCTGGAACCACAACTCGATTGTTGCTTTATCATGTCAAGTCAATTTTCATTTTTCATTCAACTGCATCATTTTCTGCAGTTGTTTGTTTACTGATTCATATGTTTACATCCCAATAAACAGTATGTGAACTGGGTGGATTTTAGTAAATTGGATCAAGGCAAATGCATATAAATAAAAGAAAGCAATAAACACATTTATTGAGACACACCATTGGTTTTACAAAATCAACAAAGGCTCTACTTTGGACTGGTGTTACAACACTTCTATTTGGTGTTTGTTAATAACACCTTAGAGGGCAGTGGTCAATAATATCTGTTTACTTGAGCTCAAGCTGTGTTGGGAATTGGGAGCTACTAAGTATTAACAGCTAAGAAGTAAGACAGCTGGATTAACGTCACACACAGGCTCAAAAAGAAGGTCTGGCTCAATGTTTAGGTCTGAAAAGCAAAATCAACATTATACTGGTTAAGATATGATGACAGTAGGTCATTCAAGTTTTGACTAAGTTCTCTTTCAAAACTCTTTCAACCTACTTGCAATTATCAGGTTAATCTGCTAGGTAGGGGGTCTGAAGCACAACCAATGCTGCAAAGTGTTTCTCTGCACATTACATGCAATTACATATTTTCCCCAGAGAAGTCTCCAAATCCCTAAAACTTTGTGTGCTTTAATGCCACAAGATTTCATTCTAACTAGTTTTGGTCTACTCCTCTCTTCTCTTTTCCTAAATGCAGATGCCTGTGAGCTCACTCTGGACCCAAACACAGCACACACTTCTCTCACTCTGTGTGAGGGGAACAGAAGGGTGGTGTGTGTGAAAGAGCAGCAGTCGTATCCTGATCATCCAGAAAGATTTGCTGATCTTCAGCAGGTGCTCTGCAGAGAGAGTCTGACTGGACGCTGTTACTGGGAGGCTGAATGGAATGGACTTTCTGCTATAGCAGTCTCATATAAAACAATCAGCAGGAAAGGAAGCAGTGAGGACTGTGTTCTTGGGTCCAATGAAAAGTCCTGGAGTCTGTACTACATAAATGACAGTTACTTGATCAGGCACAATGGGAAGGATGTTGTCATACCTGCCCCTTCCTCCAGCTCCAATAGAGTAGGCATCTATGTGGACTGTCCAGCTGGCAGTTTGACCTTCTACAGCATCTCCTCTGATTCGCTGACCCACTTGCACACATTGCAGTCCAATTTCACTGAACCCCTCTATGCAGGGTTTTGGGTTTCACATGATTCCTCAGCGTGCGTGTCGTTCCATGAAAAGAGTGCCATTTAAGTCCATAACATTTGATGTCTTATATGAGAGCCAGTTTACACATTGTATTAACATGTGTTTTGTGTCTGGATTGTATCTGAATTTACTTTGGAAGGATACCATTTATACCTTTCACTTAAATGTGTCCCCAGTGCGACCAGATAGGATCCGATTTTTTTGACCATGTAAAAAGTATCGACCCCATTTTACTTTTGTTTACTTTTTTGTCTGTCATTATTCATTGGCCCAGAGTGCAAGGAGGCACTCGATTTGTGGAAAACTCCAGCCTCATACATCCTCCAGTTGTTTGTTCATCCTCTCACCTGTTTGTCGCATGTCCACTCATGTAATTGTATAAGGATAACAAAGATGTATTCTGTTTACACCTGTGTTAAATATGGTCAAAATTTGACTCTGACTACCTCCAAATGTGGTTCAGTGATCTGATTGTAATCCAACTACAATGCATCCTGGGAGTATTTACATCTGGCTTTTCATGCAGTCAAATGAAATCTGAAAGTTATCTGACACAAGCCCTTACAGACATAAAATCACCTAATATGTGTTTTTCGAACTTAAGTATATGAATTCAAGGTTCATCAAAGTGATTTGCCCTGATTTTTCAAAAGATATTGCATAATTCAATCACTGACATACAAAGTCATTGCAAGTGTTTTCTTGTTAAAATGAAAAATGTAGAGAAACTTACCAACTGTAAACCAAGGGTCCACAAATAGCCATTTTATCCAAAAAAACACCAGTGAACTTACATGTGTCTTCTGAGTTTTTATATGCAATATTGAATGGCAAAATAATGGTAAATGTGTGTAGATCTGTCCCAGTCAACTACAAGTACTTGAACAATGCCAAGCACTGGTTGAAGTGGTGTAAAGCCCTGTGCACAAAGTGAGCTCCAAAAAGACATGGTTTGATGAGTTTGGTTTGGAGGAGCCAGTGGCCTGCACAGAGCCCTGACCTCAACCCCACTGAACACCTTTGGTTCGAACCGGAACGTCAAATGCGAGCCAGGCCTTCTTGTCCAATATCAGTGCCTGTTCTCACAAATGTTTTTGATGGAATGGTCACAAATTCCCACAAACACATTCCAAAACTTTGTGGAGCGCTTCCCAGAATAGTGGAGGCTGATGTAGCTGAAAAGGGGAGGGCAACTGCATATTAATCCCAATGGTTTTGGAATGGGATGTCTAACAAGCTCATATAGGTGTGATGGTCAGGCGTCCACATACTTTTGGTATAGCAAACAAGCAAGCAAGCAAAGTTTATTTATTTAGCGCTTTTTACAACTGGTGTTGTCACAAAGCAGCTTTACAAGGAAATCGGCAAAGAAAAGAAAGAAAGGAAAAACACAGAGTCAGTTCTGTAATGGGTGATTGATTAATTTGATTAGTTTAAATGATTGATTGGTTCAAATGATTAATTTTGATTAGTTCATGCAGCAACAGCAACAGCATCAGTGGGGTCAGGTTGTGAGGGTGAGATTTGCACGGCGTTGTACAGCAGGAGGCTCAATGGTGATAAGCCGGTCCAGAGGGCTGGCGAGCAGTGGGCACCCGATCAAGGCAGAAGAGGCAGCAGCATCAGACGCACAGGTTGGGCAGCTGTTCAACTCGGCAAAGAAAAGAAAGGAAATACACACAGAGAGTGAGTACTGTAATGGGTGACTGATCACAAGTCACAGTGTTAGCAGAGCAGCAGAGACTCTGGCAGGTATAAAATTGACAGGGAAAACTAATTACCAAAGGCTTGACTATACAAGTACGTTTTTAGCCTAGACTTAAAGACTGAGGCTGTGTGAGTCCTGAACATTACCAGGAAGTCTATTCCAAAGTTGGGGGGCTTTGTATGAGAAGGCTGTCCCCCTGACATAACTTTATTAATTCTAGGTACTAATAGTAAGCCAGCACCTTGTGATCTAAGTGGGCGTGATGGTTGTTAGTGAGAGAGAAGTTCACTCAGGTACTGAGGGGCGACTCCGTTTAGTGCTTTATAAGTCAGTAAGAGAATTTTATAATCAATGCAAAATTTAACTGGTAACCATTGTAAGGTTGATAAAACTGGGCTGATATATTCAAACTTTCTGGTTCTAGTAAGAACTCTGGCTGCAGCATTCTGGACTAGCTGAAGCTTGTTAAGGCTTTTGCTGGGACATCCAGCCAGCAGGGCATTACAGTAATCTAGCCTTGAGGTAATAAATGCATGAACTATTTTTTTTATAGTGTAGTTTTGGACACTTAAATCAGTTTCTACTATCAGTGGTCAGAATTCATAGGCACCTATCACTTCCAGTCAAATAACTTTTCAACCACTAGATGGGAGTAAAAGCAGCCTTACCCATTCGCTATTTACATATGTCCAACAGTTTATAGACATCAGCTCATCCAGCATTTCATCTGAAATCAAGGGTATTAATAGGAATTTTGTCTGCCTTTGCTGCAGTAACAGCCTCTGCTCTTCTGGGAAGGCTTTACACTAGATGTTGAAACATATCTGTGGGGATCTGATTGCATTCAGCCACAAGAGCACTAATGAGGTCAGGCACTGATGATGGATGATCAGTTCTGGATCACAAGCACAACTCCAACTCATCTCATTTATAGTTATATAAATATATATTTTTTATGAATTAGTTTGCATGAGAAATCAAAATGTATATGGTGTGATGGTACAGGGTAATGACAAGTTGCTTTAGAAATGTGAATGGATTATGGGTTATTTTTAACAAAAAAGGTACACATAGAGAGGGCAAGTGTTCCTTCTAATGGATGAAATTATTGTTGTTTGACAGAAAAAGACCATAAGGAAAAATAAATGGACACAATGGATAGTCACACTTCACTTAAGCACCCTCTGCTGGCCACATGTATGTATATATTTAAAGGGGAATTGCCCTTAGAACACACTGCATGTATTTCTTCATTACAAATGGATTTCATTAAAATAAGTTTAACACTAAAATCTTCTCTCAAACATATCGTAAAAAATGTCTAGACATCAGGCACCACATTCATAAGCCTTCTATGTAATCTGTGAGGGAGCTTTTAGAGACATTGAACTCTTCAGACATATGCTTCCTATCACAACCACTGTAAACAATTCTGACTGTCATTTTCTCTAGAACTGAGCATTTCACACCAAACCACTCTGAATGACTGTTTACATCTTAACTGTATTTATGTAGAAATGTTGAAAGTGGAATGCCTTTAACTATAAATTCATAATATTGAAACTGGTTTAAATGAACGTCTTTAAAACAGATTTATTTGCATCACATTGGAGCAGTTTAAAGGGCCCACATCCTGCATTTTCTTCTCTTTTTCCCTAAGATCCACTTAGGACATTTGTGTGGTTTTAAGTACTAAGAACCGCCAGTCAAACCCGGCTACAGTTAATAAAAAGTAAGTCATTTTAACGTGGAACATTCTTTTTATTGCTTAGTATAAACTTTTGAAGTCATTTTGTAGTCGAAGTCATGGCTGTATTAGGAACCCCAGATTTTCTCTGAGAAAAATGTGCCTTTTAAAAATCACATCTGTTGCATCGTGTAGTAAACAAGCTTGATATGTTTTGTCATGTGTACAAGTTTCCCACAAGTATCACTGGATTCTCTGAATTATGAGGTCGTTTAGTAGTCGAAATATGAATAATGCTATATACACAAGCTAACACTTCTGAGAAATTAAACAACGTCACGGTCTATGGTTAAACTTCAACACTTTTATAGAACAACACCAGCTACTCAAACTGTAGCCTACTACTGCCAACACAACTCAAATATCAAATTTGACTAAGCTTACTGGTTAATGTGGGGTATTCTGAGAGTTCCAGTCTTATGATGTCAGTTCAGTTCACAGCAGTGTTAGCTTGCACGTAGCAGGATAAATAGTTAGACTTCTAAATGACCTTGTAATTCAGAGGATCCAGCAATTCAAAATTCAAAAGTGCACTCCAGGCAGCAATGGGCGGAGCTAAACTGTTGTAGGTGAATATATGTACATAAATTGGTTTTCATGACATCACAAAACTAATGGATTCAAACGAGTTTGTTTTTACAGTTTAGTTACAGTATATTGTTGCTGTCCAAAAAAACACCTATCTCCATTTTTTTTCTTTTTTTTATGTCATTACGTCAAACAGCAAGAGTATTTTATATTGTGTATAAATATGTGATGAATGGATCAATAGAAATGCACAAAAGTTACTTCAAAATATTTTTACATTCTCTTGCATTAAATATTATGGATGTTTTTTGTCCTCTCCTGTGAAGTTGTGATTTTTAGACTGGTGAGTGAACATTACTTTTTGAAGAATTAACAGTGTTTATGCATTACATCAAACTCTGTAATTTAAAAAAAAAGAGAAAAATTGTTTGTTTTCCTGTGATATGGGCCCCATAAACAGGCTACTTTTGTTACCGTGGCTTTAAAACCTTGTATCTCCCTTCATGTCATTTTTTCAGTTTCTGACAGAATTTGAACATGCCTGTCACCCTTCACATTGTGTGTAAGTGACACAATGAATGGACCAAAAGAAGTGGCCCATGATTACTTGGAAAAAAGTCAGATTCAATTGACTTACATTAAAAGTAAAGTAGTTTTTTTTACCTTACCAGCAGTAGTGATATATATATATATATATATATATATATATATATATATATATATATATATATATATATATATATATATAACTAAGTTGAACAGGTGGATATGTACAGTTTTCATGACATCACAAAAACAACAGTTCAGAGCAGCCTGTTTATGTATGGACTGTGTAGGCTGGTGAGAGCATGTTGGTTCCTTTAACTGTAATAATACTACCTCACACTCTTATTTAGTGGGGAAAACTCAGCTTTCTACGACAGGGTCTCTTTAAAATCCTAACTTTTCCTAAACCAAAGTTTTCAGTCAGGTGTCTGTGGGGAAGGGGGGAGTAGAGGGGGCGGAGAGAGGGGGGCGGGGTCTCCTCCTCCTCTCCCCCACTCTTTGATCTCAGGTTTGGGAGGAGAAAAAAAGAGAGGGCAGCTCCTCTTCCTCCCTTCAACGCAGCACAAACGTGCCATTCATCCTCCTGAGCTCGTCCCTCCTTCTCCTCGCTTTCACCAACTTCAGGCCAGTTCAGCGCAAACATGCGGAGAATGTGCAGCGTGCTGCTGTGCGCCTGCGCCTTGCTGCTGCTCAGTGGCGATGCACAGGCGAGGTGAGTTCAGCCCGCTACTGTTTTCTGTCTGTCTTTCTAAGAAATGCATTCGAGCTTCAGCTGCAGTGTCGGGAAACGATGCGGAGACGGACGCTGTCCTGTCACTCCGGCACCACTGCAACGCTTTGGAAGCCAATGCAGCTTTTGTTCGCTGCCCTGAAGGTGCAGTGTTATTGTTATTGTATGGAATGACGGCTGAGTGGGGCTTCCACTTGTTTTCTGTGCACGTGGCCTGCATTGCACGGGCATTTAATTTCATTTTGCACCATTTTTACCCCGTTTTATCCCCCCAGACCGACCTTCGCTTGTGGGGGGAATGTGACTGGAGATTCTGGAGTTATCGGCAGCCAAGGCTATCCGGGAGTATACCCTCCGAACACCAAATGTGTGTGGAGAATTACAGTAAGTAGGCGCTTTATTATGTATAAACACACGTTATGTTGCAGTATATTCCATGCTTTTCCTGTTGCCATGATGAGAACTGCCATCCCGTGTTGCTGAGAGTCGATGCGCTGTGTTGAATGACACTGGATGCCAAACATGAGCTTAACTGGTCTGTGTGGTATTTGGCTGCTGAAGCCCCGAGGGTCGCTTCAGACTCTTCACACTCTGCTCTGCGTCTTAGAACATGTTGGCACCCCCGCAGTGGGTAAAGATTAAAGACTGATAAGCAGTTTTCAGCTGTCCAAGCGTATTAAAGGGCCCATATCCCTATTTTCTTATATTTTATTTTATTTTATTTTGTTAGATTTTTTTTTTCTCTGAACTTTCCCTTTCAGCATTTGTGAAGGATTTATGTACCAGAAACATTCATAATTCATTTTTACACAACCTTTTTCCAACCATACACTTAAACATGCTGTTTTTGTTAATGTGTGTTCAAGACTGACATATCTAAAGGGTCTTTGTTTTGGCTGGCTGGCCTGCATTGTGCCATGTTTTAGGCTGAATAGGCAGATTTGTGTGTACGTGTGATGTTTTTTGTGACCTCACATAAACAATTAATTCAAAACTGGCTCTTTTTGCAGTTCAGTTTCCACATATGGGTTGGTGAGTGAATGGTACATCTTGAAATACTGACAGTGTTTACAAACTACATTAAACTGTTTATTTTAAAGTAAGAAAAATGAGATTTTCTATGATATGGAATTTTTTAAAAAGTTAGGCCAGATCTTAACTTGCAATTGGGTTGACTGTAATAAGTTTCAGAGCAATGTCTTCTAGAAAACCAAGGTGACTGACTTGTGTTGCCACTTATCAGACAACTAGAGCCTTCATTCATTCACCTAGCTGACTAAAAGCTTTCACAGATATACTGTCAGAACATGTCTTAGTGAACATTCTGAACATAGTCATGTACAGTTGTTGATAAGTGCTAAGTGATGTTTGTAAAATTCGATATCACAGTATTTTCCAAGTATATGTATGCATGTTTGCATATATTAAGATAATGAACCAGGCTTCCTGAGAGCTGGCAGTCTATGCAGAAAGAGTGAATAGCAAACCTGACATAGCTTGTTAAATTGGACTCTGTGTGTGTGTTTATATATATATATATATATATATATATACGTACATTACACACACATACACACACACACACATATATATATATATATATATATATATATGTTGGAAGAAAACCTCATATCTCCAAAATGGCAACTTTATAAGAGACGGAAAAAATCTGCTTTACTTTTAATGTGTCAAAGTTTAATTATGTCAAAAACTTAAAAACAAACAAAATGGAGATATAAGGTTTTATTCTGACAGCAGTGATATGTATGTATGTATATGTGTATGTATATGTGTGTGTAAACATTACTGACCACCCAGATAAACAGATAAACAGTTAGAAATAGGAATTAAACTTGGTTCACATCTGAATGAATCCACAGGTGTCTTCAAAGACTGAACTTTGGAGGTGTGAACAAATATCCCAACACATTTCTTTTTTATTCTTTGTAATTAAAGGCAAAGGATGGAGAAACTACATGCTGACAAATTTATATAAATATATATTACATTTAGTTGTTGAGGCTTTTTGTGTGATTCTCTCTTTACACAAAAACTTTTGCACAGTAGTGTATATAATGTGCTATGACTCTTACAGGTCCCGGAGGGTAAAGTGGTGGTCCTCACCTTTCGTTTCCTTGATCTGGAAAGTGACAACCTATGCCGTTACGACTATGTGGATGTTTACAGTGGCCACGTCAATGGCCAGCGCCTTGGACGTTTCTGTGGGACGTTTAGGCCGGGGGCCCTCGTCTCCACGGGAAACAAGATGCTTGTTCAGATGGTGTCTGATGCCAACACGGCTGGTAGTGGCTTCCTGGCGGTCTTTTCGGCTGCTCATCCTCATGAGCGAGGTGAGTCTGGACAGGGACATTTGTGTTCAGCTGTATGTTGTAATTGGTATTTGCCAATTGTTGTAGTAAGGTGCGTTGCAAGGATGTATGCATTCTTCATCCTGAGGTTTTAAAAAGGATTGTTCTACAGCTGTACGTCTGAAACATAATCATTGTTTTAACTCATAGTATGAGAGTTTGAGGCAGGGAGCATATTTGAGGTTCAAGGGGTCACCTCAGAGCAACTTTTAAAGCAATAGTTTAACAAAAAAAATGGCTGAATTACCTTCTTAGTGTAAATGTAACTGAAAAGCCAACATGTCTGTTTGATTTGTTATATACAAAAATAGACAAAAGTATTTTGCATTACTAAAAAATAGTAGTAAAAGAGTCTAAAGTTTGTCCCAGAGTCTAAAGTTTGTCTTTTGTCCATGTTTATATGTAACAGTATGTCATACAGTGTCAGAAACTATGTAAGCAAGTCTGTTTGAGATTGTTTGGCAACTTGATGTGGTTTGAGGAGAGTGTGTGGTGATTTAGGCACATAGTTTGCATTGTGCTATTTGGTGTGGCTGTAAGCTTCCAGTACTTTTTAGCCACATTAGCCACAAAGCTCCACTGTAAAACTTAAAAACAAACTTTGGATGTCTTTGGCGAATGACTACGTTTGGTATAAATACTTTAATACTGAGTTGAAGTTGAATTGAATAGTACAGTTATATATCTTCTGCACCCTGAGGTTATAGGCCTGAATATTCTATACATGTACATTCAAAATATGTACATCTGTGTGTTTACTCATGAAGTCAGAGGGTTAGGGGCCAGAGACCATCTAACTTAGAGCTTATTTTAACCTGTAGGTGCCCCATGAGCTGCAGCCGTAGAGAGATAGGGCTGTAATGTTAACAAACCTTTACTGTTCATTAAATCTGTGAAAACAGACTGGGATTCCTGAAGTGCAGAGATGAGTGAAAGTTGGTTTTGCCTGCGCTTGTTAAACGTGACGGGGCTTTTTCTGGGAGCTCTTTCCCTGCTGTGAATTTCTCAGTATGACGTGGAATTTCTCACAGACATTTTTTTCCTCAGCGTTTCAGAGGCAGGTCAGACCCTCAGAGTTCCCCTCGCTTATTAAGAATGACAAGACGTCGACTAAGCCAGCTACAAGGCTGCTGGAATTTTAATGGTCAGGTTTTCCCCTTCTGTCTGCTCTCCCAGCGGACAGCTGGAGTGATGTTAGGCTACAGTGTTCTCTGTGTGGGAGTAGCTGAGTCAAAATAACATGTTATGGTGAAACCAGTTTAACTGTGTTTTCCAGTTGTTCTTTTTTTCCCAACTTTTCTGAAGTACTTTTAGGTATGAGACAGTTAAAACATCTGATTGCAACTACATTTTGCCTTTTTTTTTCCTCATCTAGCAGTTCCATCATTTATATTTTTGGGAGAGTAGCTGAGTCACAATAACACATTGAGCTGGACTCCTGGCCATTGATGGCTGTAGCATCACCAGGGATCAAACTCACAATCTCCAGATGATAGGGCCAACACTCAGGAGTTGCACCACTCGGGAGCCCCTATAGTCTGATTTTTAACCCTGATTTGCCCCTTGCGACAAATATTCACAATCTACAGTGATTTTTCCAGGTCAGGATCGATCGAAGATGTGGATGATCTGGTAGCATGAGAGGAGAAACGAGTCAGTCTTTGGTCTTCCAATCGAGTTCTGGAGTTTACGATTCCTGTAGTGTATAATGGTCATTGATGTAACTCAACAGTGACTCAGGAAACAGCCACTAAAAGAGCTTGGAGAGTGAAGGAAAAAGGCGAGGAGACGCACATGCACTGGACTGCAGAGACAGAGGAGCTGCTTGTTGAACTTAGGCTAATAAGAGCCTTTATCATGTTTATACTGTATGGATATGGACATCACTCTCTTTACAATTTCTAGTCAGCTGCCAGTTTGCAGTGAAATATTTCTCAAGCTCTCAGTGTTGTTACCAGTGTTTCTCAACCACTTATTCATCATAAATTTGCATTTTTGCTACTCGTAAAAGCACAAACAGGTCCGGTCCAGCTTTTTTTATGTCATGTGATAACAGGGCTGTTGGAGCTCTAGGAGTTCTTATTTGTAACTGAAACTCATGTGCATTATGCTCTCTCTTTGCCTTAGTGTCTGGACTGTGTGCCCTCATGAGGAAAAAGACAAGAAATTCTGTGAAATTCTGACGTTAAGTCTGTACTGCTCTCCGTTTTAGAAGTCTGTTAGGATTTTAAATCATGTAGTGTGCGCCCAGATTTAATGTGAAACTAGTTCAACTACATTATGTGTTCCAAAGCATCCACACAGCCCTTCTAATTAGTGAATTCAGCTGATGCAGATGTTCAGTTGCACAGACAGATCTTGTATAATCTCTATAGAAAAGCATTGACCAATAGAAAGGGATGCTCTGGATCAGCTGCACATGAGCCCAAGCATTAGGCTGTGGAGCAGTGGATCTGTGTTCTCTAGAGTGATGGAGCTCCATCCAGTACCTTTTGGTGAATGGGAGTGATCCAGAACTGATCATCCAACATCAGTCCCTGACCTCACTAATGCTCTTATGGCTGAATGCAGTCAAATCCTCACAGCAATGTTCCAACAATTATTGTAAAGACGTTCCCGAAGAGTAGAGGCTGTTACTGCAGCAAAGGAGGACAAACTCAATATTAATACCCTTGATTTCAGAAGAGATGCTGTGAGATGCAGGTGAAAATGTTTGGACATATAGTGCACATTTTCCCTTTTTCTTTTTTACCATTTTCAAAATCATATCACAAATAAAGCATCTATACCATGTTCCAAATTATTATGCAAATTGGATTTAAGTGTCATAAAGATTTAATTTTTTGTTTTTCCATTAAACTCATGGGTGGCATTGTGTCTCAGGGCTCTTTGGATCATTGAAATCAATCTCAGACACCTGTGATAATTAGTTTGCCAGGTGAGCCCAATTAAAGGAAAACTACTTAAGAAGGACTTTCCACATTATTAAGCAGGCCACAGGTTTCAAGCAATATGGGAAAGAAAAAGGATCTCTCTGCTGCCGAAAAGCATCAAATAGTGCAACGCCTTGGACAAGGTATGAAAACATTAGATATTTCACGAAAACTTAAGCGTGATCATCATACTGTGAAGAGATTTGTGGCTGATTCAGAGTACAGACGGATTCGTGCAGATAAAGGCATAATGAGGAAGGTTTCTGCCAGACAAAGTCATCGGATTAAGGGAGCAGCTGCTAAAATGCCATAACAAAGCAGCAAACAGGTATTTGAAGCTGCTCCTCCAGAGGCTTGCAGTTGTGCATAAACCTCCTATTCGGCCACCCCTAACCAGTGCTCACAAGCAGAAACGGTTGCAGTGGGCCCAGACATACGTGAAGACTAATTTTCAAACAGTCTTGTTTACTGATGAGTGCTGTGCAACCCTGGATGGTCCAGATCGATGGAGTACTGGATGGTTGGTGGATGGCCACCATGTCCCAACAAGGCTGCGACGTCAGCAAGGAGGTGGCGGAGTCATGTTTGGGCCGGAATCATTGGGAGAGAGCTGGCAGGCCTCTTTAGGGTCCCTGAAGGTGTGAAAATGAAATTTCTCATTGACCGCTTTCTTCCATGGTACAAAAAGAAGAACCGTGCCTTCTGTAGCAAAATCATCTTCATGCAATGACAATGCACCATCTCATTCTGCAAAGAATACCTCTGTGTCATTGGCTGCTATGGGCATAAAAGGAGAGAAACTCAATGGTATGGCCACCATCCTCCCCTGACCTCAACCCTATTGAGAACCTTTGGAGTATCCTCAAGCAAGAGATCTATGAGGGTGGGAGGCAGTTCACATCAAAACAGCAGCTCTGGGAGGCTATTCTGACATCCTGCAAAGAAATTCAAGCAGAAACTCTCCAAAAACTCACAAGTTCAATGGATGCAAGAATTGTGAAGGTGATATCAAAGAAGGGGTCCTATGTTAACATGTAACTTGGCCTGTTAAGATGTTTTTGATTGAAATAGCTTTTGACTTCAGTAAATGTAACCTCTTAATGCTGCAAATTCAACAAATGACCATTTTCAGTTCTTTACAACCTATGAAATGTTTTGAAACTGTTGTGCATAATAATTCAAAACAGTGCATTTTGAGTTTTTTTTATTTTTGAAAAAATACTGTTATCATTGGGAGGTTTGTTCAATAAACTTTGATTTATACGGTTGATGACTTGAAAATGATACTGACTGTCATTTGCATCGACCATTTAGGAGAATCAGAGAATAATTTGGAACGCGGTATAATTACAGCTACTGTTGGTTTATCGCCACAATAACTTGCCATAGAGACGTCATTCAGATTGCTTTGGTGTGAAATGGTACATTGCAGAGATACGTATTGACTCAGATTTCTTTCTTCTGATTTCAGATTCAGATTTCAGTCTAGTGAGTTTTTATATGTAGTGTTGATAGTAAAGTAGTGGTAGATCTGAAAAAATAAGTTTTCTTTTGGTGCTATTTTGCACAGTGCATGTATCTCTCCACAATGAATGGATTAGACCTTCTTAAATCTAAAGCATGTACTAAAATCATAAAAGCAATATCTCAGGCGTCAGGCAGTGTATTCATAACCATTTCATGTAACAACTTTCTGTGAGGGAGCTTCGAGAGGCATTAAACTCTTCAGACGTCTGATTCCTATCACCACCACTGTAAACAATTCTGAGTCTGTAAGTTTCTCTAAAACTTTACATTTTGCCTCAAACCACTGTAAATTACTTAGTTTGCATCTTAGCCATTTAATTATGCTGATATTCAGAAAAATCAGCAGAATTCCCAGTTTAGTCTAAACTAAAACAATTCAGTCCCTTCCAGAAGAGAAATGCATCTAAACCGAAGTAACAGTTGCTGCTGAGCTAACTCTTTGGCTTCTGTGCTTTGGACATGTCCCTCCTGAATATGGACAGTGTTTATTTTAAATGCTTTAAATGCTCTGAGCTCATCCAGAGAACGTCTCTGTGGTTCTATAAATGGTCATGACAGTATATTTCAGGACAGGCGAGGATCTGTAGATGAAGGCGTCCCGCGAGCTTTGGCAGCTTTTGCAACGTGTGTGGGTGCTGGCTTTATCCTGCTCTGATGTTTAATAACATCTCCTGCATGTGGTCTCCCTTTCAACAACATATTGCCGGAGACCACCGCCTGGATGCACATGTCCTGAAGTCACTTATTTTCTTCTAAGGCACTGGAAGTGCTTATTTAAAGCCTGCAAATGACAGACGCACAATTATAAACATGGACCCTTTTAATTAGGGCACAGTGATAATATGAATAAATGTGTATTTGAACTGCTTTTTTGAAGGGGATCAGTATTGCGGAGGGAGGCTGATGAAGCCATCGGGAACTTTTAAAACCCCCAACTGGCCAGAGAAAGACTATCCGGCAGGAGTCACGTGCTCTTGGCACATCATCGCGCCGAAGAACCAGGTGATGCTGTTATTCATTTTGCTTTACTTTACATTAAAACTTTGTGTATTCCATAGTTCAAGTCCTGGCATAAAACATAATATGCAAAACACTATAGCATCACAAAAACACACAATCCTTCATTATTTATTTAGCTCATTGAGCTACAGTGTATATAAATGGCTGTTCAATTTAAAGGAGTGGTTCAGTAAGAAATCATATTCAAACAATTTTACAATAACCCCCTGGTGTTCATCAGCCAAAATAAGTTTGATGTTCAAATTTGTGCTGCATTAGTTTAAAACCAGAGCTACGAGCCTAATGTAGCTTACAATCACTAGAAGTCCGTAGCCAATCGGTGGAGCTAGGGCTGAAAAATTAAGCATTTTTATATCAAAATTGCAATTTGAAAGAGTGTTTAAACCACAAGAGCTACTATTTTAATTATAGCCCACAAGTTTACTAGTTTACCTTTACAAGTTTGAGGTAAGGGTGTTTAACTTGATAACATGGAGCTTGTGAACTGCAAGTAATTGAGTCAATCAGAAGAAACCAAACAGTGAAATGCCCACTATCCCCGTGATTCCAGCAGCCATGTAACATTCACCCCAAACCTTTTGGTGAATACATCAGCAAAGCGTATCCCAAGCAGCTCACACTACATGCAGGTCTTCAGTAAGGTCACACAGACTTGTTGATGTGGTTCAGAATACAGTATAGCTTACTGTAAACAATGAACAAAACTTCACCATGTAGCTGAATCCTGGGATGACAGCAGTTGTTCTGCTGACAAGTCTATCCAACCTAATTGAAGGCCTGGATGTGGTTTGAGCAGGTTGGAAGACGTTCTGGGGACGTGTTTTCGGAAAAGATTTGGATGACCATCAACTTCTAGGGTTTGTTAGCAATGTTAGCCCCTTAGCTCCAGTGCTAAACTAAAAAAGCAAAATTTGGACTGGGGTAAGTGGAACATTTTTAACCTTGTATTTTGCTAAATAATTCCCTTTGCTTGAAGTTACACACTGTGTTATGCCTATTGTTGCTGATATATTTGTTTTACATTTTTTTTACAGATTATTGAGGTGAAATTTGAGAAGTTTGATGTTGAAAGAGACAACTACTGCCGCTATGACTACGTAGCTATCTTTAACGGCGGAGAAATCAATGATGCCAAGAGAATTGGGAAATTTTGTGGAGACACACCACCAGCGTAAGAGAGCAGCTCATGAATCCCTCAGATAGATAGAACATATACTTAAACTACATTGTGAAGGTTCAGAATGATAGTGTAACATTCCTGACAGAAGATTTCCAGAAGAAAAAATAGTTGTATGACAATCAGAATGTAAAAAGCTATCATTAGTGGATGAATCTCAAATGGTTTCTGCACACAAATACAACCCCTGGAAAAACATCACCACACTTAGGGGATGTTCACTCAGCTGATATGAATCATTGGATATGACTTTTTTTTGTTTAATAGCTGAACATTCTGGTTTTGTGAAACATTCCTCAAACGAATTAAATTAAATTATTTTTATTAATCGCACATTTTTTTCCAGATCAAGTAGAGTAAAGAATTATGAAATCATTCAGTGTTGAGGGGAAAAATATGGAATCACCTTTAAATTTGCATTTCTAAAACAAACACCAGCACAAGTCAAAAATGCAAATCAGTCTGCAGTTAAAAGGGAGCTTACAGACCTTAATGAGCTGTTGGATGAAGATATGGCTCCAACAAGAGAGTTGTCAAGTGCGTGTGATTGGATGAAAATGATATTCATTGATGCATTACAAATCTACATTGGCCAAGGAGATACTATATTATGCTATGGAGTTGTATGTTAGGTAAAGGACCAAGGGACATGGCAATCATTACCTCAGCAGTCACTGCACAGGTGTACACTGAAATTTTGGACACTTTTCTCATCTCGGCGATAGAAAATAGGTTTGGTAATGAAGTGTTGGAGCTTTTCTTCAGAAAAGGCATATCAACATAATGACATGGCCAGGAAACAGTCCGGATCTCAATCCGATTGAAAATTTATGGTGGAAATTATCCTGCAAAGCTGATTATCCTGCAAAGCTGATCTATCAACCACTATTTACAAAAGTTGGAACCAGCTTGATGTAGAATACTGTTTTTCATTAGTAAAGTCTGCGCCTCAAAGAATTCAGCCTGTCACAACAGCCCAAGGAGGAGTAGCAAAGAATTAATTGTACATTTTATTTATTTATTTGTATTTTTTGTATTTTACTCCATATTTCTTTCCTCAACGTTAAGTGATTTCCATATTTTTTTTTCTCCTACTTGATCTGGAAAAAAAATATGCAATTAATTAAAATAATTTAATTTGTTTGAGGTTTTTTTATGATATGAAGTGAAAAAAGTTGGCTGAACATCCTCCAAGTGGGGTGATCCCATAATTGTTGCCAGGGGTTTTAGTGCATTATTTGTCTAGTAGAAAGCCATTTTTGTTTCAGCCATAAGCTGCACGGCTCTCTGGCTAAGATTTAGTGCACTATTTGGATGTGAAAGCTGTAGTTTTATCACCCATGCTGTGCACTATACTGGGTATAGGGTAGGGATCCATTTGAGATTCAGACAGTGACTTTAGGAACAATTAAATGTATTGAATTATATGCATTTATAGTTTGTGTCTATGGTCTACAATGGTAGTACTTATTAAATAAAAATGCTTTCATGTTGTTTTCTAAAAAATAATTAGAAAGGTATATATTGTGTGTAAAGCAAAGGGACTTATGTATCTGACTGTGGCTTTAAACTAGGGCTGTCATGATTACACAGATAAAAATAATGTGATTACAATTGATATTCTCATAGTAATTAGATTGTGAATTGATTGATAAACAGGGTATCTGTGCGATATAATATATAGCCAACTATAACAGAGCAGTGTTTTGCTGACTGAAGATTATCTACAAGTTGGCAGTGTCAGCACTTAAGTAGCTTTTGTGTGCATCACTGAAAGAGAGGAAACCCACACCAGCAGGATCTCTCAAATGCCCAGCTGGGCAGACACATAACCAACTAACAGGCTACTCCAATAAAATTCCACTAGTTTTTTAATGAAGCATTCGCTATTAAGGGTGCACATACTGTAAAGAATATTGAATGTCTGTTACAAGCATTAAATGCATCAAGTGTTTGTGTTTAAGGCCTAGTGTTAAACTCTGTGAGAAGTGAACACCACTGCTAGCCTGGCGCTAACACTATATTGAATTTCCTTTGGCTAGTGGTAATTGGCATTATCATAGCAGTGTTACTTATACTACTGATAAAGATTTCTTCAGTAATCGTTGCTTAAGGCTTCTGAAATCTTTTAAAAAGCCCTGCTTAGTATTTTGTTATTCATAATAACATAACAAATGTACAAAATTGTTATTGTTTGGCAAAGATTACAAAGATTAATCGTCAAAATAATTGCTGAATTTCTCAATTAATTGTAAAATTGATAGACAGCCCTACTGTCAACATTATAACGTTTACATTGTTTTAATTTAAATTCTGAAATCTTTCTTTTTCTGACCAGGCCAGTGTTCTCTGAGGGCAATCAGCTTCTTATCCAGTTCCTCTCAGACTTGAGCCTAACGGCGGACGGCTTTATCGGGCACTACAAATTTAGGCCCAAGAAGTTCCCCACAACAACCATGCCCCCAACTACCACCACACAGCCCACCACCACCAGACCCATCCGTAAGTGGCGCCCTGTTATGCTTATTAGAGGCGGCAGAGCAGGCTTATCATTAGCGTGTCTGTTCTGTGCAGCTAGAATGAAGAGCTGTTTTGTGGATGTGATGGAGTCGGGCGGGGAATAAGAGTTTACATAGACCTCTGAAGTCATGTGTTATTCTGTAGTCAGCATCTTACCCATGTTACATACTCCAGGTCTAAGCAGACTTCTAGGAAAAAATGAATGCTGTTTTCGAAAATTACTTCAGTCGCACCTTATGGTAAACATAAGGGTCACAAGTGTCACTGGATTTTCAAGTTGTTTTTAGATCATTTAGCATTCATAAAAACTACTAATGACATGTACCGAAATTTTGGCGTCTGAACCTGAAATGCCACATTCTGTTTTCCGAATAAAAAACACAGCAAAACAGAAGCAGGAAGGAAAGCATGATAACGCCACTTTTTGCCACAAGTTTTGAAATAATGGAATAAAAAAAACGCCAAAAGTGCCAAAGTGCAAAATACAACTAAAAATTATAGAATTAATTGCGTTGGATGGCCAGCTGTCCTTTGTTGTCAAGAACATTGGATTTTGTGGCACATTCTGTAGCAGATATGCTGTAAATGCCCAATTAAAACGATATTAAAAAAAAAACAAAAAACTTTCTTTTGATTTTTGGTTTTGGTGTGTCTAGATTTTTGGTTTTGAGCAGAAATTTTAATTTCAGGGCGTCACTAGTACTACATAAAGGCAGCAAGTAAGCCAGTATCTTGCACTAGGAAATGACATCGCTTGAAATTATGTCTACGATTAAACTTGGGTACTTTTATATACCAACACATGCTGCTAAAACTGTGGCCTAAAACTGCCGAAACTTCTAAACTACCACATTTGACAAAACGTACTAGAATTTTGGTGAGGTAGCCAGTCAACAGAGTGTGCAGCAGGTTAGCTTGCATGTAGCAGTAGTTGTGTTTTGGCTGTGTTTAGAGGAAAAAAAATGTATGTACAGCAAAATGTATCGACTTTTGAATATTTTGTTTAACATGGAGCGTGATTTTCGAAAACAGCTGTCTTTTGTCTCGTAGAGAAACCCCGCTTACACCCAGAGTTCCTAATATGGGTATGACAACTGCAGAATGGCAGATTTATAGACGACATACTAATGATCCAACATGAACTGCACTGTTTAGGAAGTGACATAGACTGTCTGGCACCCTTGCTTGACATTTCACTCATGGCGGGATGTCGTGTGTGTGTGTGTGTGTGTGTGTGTGTGTGTGTGTGTGTGTGTGTGTGTGTGTGCTGCAGATGTGCAAACACGTGCAATGTGTTTGGCTCATTTGATGTGATATAGTGGACTGACCATTTATTGTGGAATGAGTAGTGGATTCTAGTGCTGAGGCCAACATGTGAGTTCCCTTAAGAGTCAATCTGACGTAGAAACAGTGAGGTGCAGAGAAATGCCTGGAAATCCATCGAGACAGCATGCACTAATATGCAAATGTCCCTGAAAGACTTTTTACACTGAGTCACTTAATGCGTCTCATATTGATTGGATCAATATCAGATTGTGAAAAGGCCAAGATCCTGTTTATACCTTGCATTAACATGTGTTTCATGTCTGGATCATATCTCGATGTACTTTTGGCTGGATTCCTTTTACACTTTTCATTAGAATGTGTCCCCAGTTTAACCAGATGAGATCTGCTTGTACTTTCCATGTGTAAAAAATACATCAACACATACGTCATTTCCATTTTACTTTTGCTTACTTTTCCCTTGTTTCGATACGGGTTGACAAGCTTGGCTTGGACACTTTCATCAGCCCAGAGTGCAAGAAGGCTTTCAGTTTGGGAAACTCCAGTCTCGCTGCAGCTGCAGTACGCTTTAGCCTAGGACAGTTGACACTTTGGGTTTTTAATTTTTGCTGCTGTTGTTTTCTTTGTCTTTGTTATGTGCATCTCAGCTGTCTAATTTTATTTGATGTCTTCATTAGGATAAATGTCTTGTCAGGAGTGGATTCAAGCTTTATAAGTGTTGCATCAGTTGTTGATTGTAGCAATTATATGGTTCATATGCTGCCGTTGCAGCCCTCATATAAACTGCCGTGATGTCATAAAAATCTCCTGACCACCAAAAAAAAGCTACACAGAGAGGGGCCCCTCAAAGTTTGTGCCTAGGGGCCTAAAACGTGATGATCCTGGCCTGTGTATGGCCCAGCAGAGATGAGTGAATTTATTCCTTCTGAATAAATTAATCTGCGGTCATTTGCATATGCAATCAAATGTTTGATGCCAGAAAGTAGTTCACAACAGCTCCTGTTGCCTTTTGTCATAAAACCTATAACTACATAGAGCAAAATATCTGTGGTACCTGGAGATTCCAGAAAAACATCCTTGGATTTGTGTGTAACATGGGAGAAGTAGCACAGATGAAAATCTGGGATTCTTACGTGTCTGAAACGCGTTAATGTGGCCAGGTGTAACTGGAATGCGGTTAAATCTTGTCTGGATATGAGGCAAGTGTGAAAGACTCTTGAGCTCTCGTCTTTATTTTGGCTTTTATGGAATCAGGCCTCCCTGCACCAGTCTGAGCTGAGAGATGGCGTTTGGCTGCCTCCATCTGTGATGTCATCTCCAACGAAGAGCCACTGATTAGCTTTATCTTCAGTGCTGTGCGTCTGTTTTTCATTCCATTTTCCCGAGAAAGGAATAACATTCGAACTGTGGTTTCATTTATCAGAATAGCAGGTCCAACCAGCCCTCAAGAGATTGGAAAAAATGTGAAACAAGAAATCAGACTTTTCAGCGTTTCCCTTCTGGCTCACTGGCTCAGTATGTGCTTTTAACAATAGTTTGGAAAAGTCATTGTTTAAGCAATACATAGTGAGACACTTTGATAAATGTAAAGCTGAGTGTTGCAGCTAAATGTACCAATATTTTTGTTACTTAATTGAAAAGTAAGAAAAGTAAGAATATTCAAATTTCAGAAGAAGGCAAAGTGCCCCGAAACTTTTTCACAGGCAGCATAATCACTAGAAATGTGCAGTTTAGTATTCGTACGTGGTATGCTGTGTAATTTATTCTGAATGACTGAGAAATGCAGAGGAGAACATTGCTGAAGGCTTGTTTTATAAAGCGGTGAAACTGATGCTATCTCTGCTTGCCTCTCCAGCTTTGAAGTATTCTGCATCGCTGTGTCAACAAAAATGCAAGAGAAAAGGAACCCCTGAGAGCCATTACTGTTCCAGCAACTTTGGTAAGAGAACAGCACTGCAACTTTTGCTCTCTCTCTAATGCACGTGTGCACGGACATGTGCGTAAAGGGAGATGCACCATCCGACAAAAGTTTCAGAATGCAAAGCTTTTCACAGTGTTAAAAACTTAAGGGGGTGATTCACCACTGTTCTGTCCTATACAGTCAAAATATTTAGGCTCTGCGAACATTAAGCGCACAAGAATAGTTCTGCTTGTCCTCCACAGTCCAAGAAATTCCCGCTGAGGTCTCCATAAGTTTCATCTATGAAGGCAACAACTTTCATAATGCAATGTGGCAGAATTTCGACTGGAAAGATAACTGGCCCAGCTGAGGCTGATTCGCCCCAACAGTCCCAAAAGGTGTTCTGATTTCAGGCTGGTCTTAAACCATTATCTTCCCAGTTTTTCCTGTGGTGTCAGGTGCGTAATCCAATCTATAGCCCTTCGATCTACACACAGTGCAGTTGTGGCCGGCCCAAGTTTGAATTAAATTCATCCATAAAACCTCAAAATCCTGTATTGTCGGGTGGAATGCTGATTTTCTCATGCATGAAAGACCTATAACTAGTGAGAGGTGAGCTGCATGAAGCAGAGCTGAACGGAAAGATCAATCTCAGCTTATCCAAATTGAACTGTTGTTCCTATCATTATAAATACCAACTTTTTGTGGCAAAATGCACACACATTACCAAATTAAGCAATGTCTCAATACCATCTGCCACATTTGTTTTGATCTAAAAACCTGTTTACAAGAAATTCTGTGAGATCCCAGGTTGGTTGGGACTTGAAAACACAATCTGAAAATGTGTGATAGTGTTGTAGTCAGGATCGAGACCAAGACTTTGAAGTAGTCAACATTAAATAATATATATAACCTAAAAATATTATTAATTACTAAACCATCGTCTGAGTTTAACTTTGTGTTGTAACTTTTGGAAGCAAGTGATTAAGTTCCCAAATTCACTGTCCCTTCCTTCCTAAAACTTATTCTAACCACCCAAAGCCAACAAAACATGAACCAAACAACATTCCTACATTTTTATTATTAAATGAAAACAGTAATCACAACATTCCGATCTGCCCTCAGGGAATGTTTGAATTTTGGAACCAATAAATATCAGCAAACAAATAATACCCAGTTAAGCTATCATGAAAAAAGATCAATTAGATCCTCAACAGGCAGCGAATAGATTGTGTTTAAACATGAAGTCAAAGGAATGTTTTATTCTGTTTGAAGGTTTTGTTGATATTCAATAATGGTTTTCAGTTTCCAGTTTCCTGCCAAAACGATGTTAAGGTCAAGATAACAGATACTGTTCGTTTATGCTCTCCACACCGGTCTCGAGTACTGCAGCACTAGTGTGTTTGTGATTATTCTGGCTAAATCTTGTGGTGTGGGCGGTTTAATGGACTGAAGGATGTCTAAGGACAAAAAACCTGATGAAATTTGTCATTTTATCTGACATTTTCTCTCACATTTTCAACATTGGTTAGGACTTGTAGTGTGGGCATAAAACTCATAACTTGGAATTCCAGCTTGGAAAAAACAACAAAAATGCCCTTCAACTGGTAATTCCATCTTGAAAATTTGGGAAGGTGCTCAGAGCTCATCGCTTGATGTTATTTGCATGGCTGCTTGTGTTAATAGTAATAAAGCACCACTTCTCTACTTTTAAATGCGATTTACTTTAGATCAGTCAACAAATAGATGCAGTAGTTGATTAACTGTATCAGCCATCATAAGGTTTACTGTTTTGTAAAGGTAAACACATCACAAACGTATTCAAACGAGGTCCGTATTTTGTCTCCACTTGGTAGCTTGAGGTCGAAAATGGCATTATTCTGGGATCCAACTTCCTACCTCTGAGTTACACTAAGCATTAGACATTCCCAGGGAATGCCCCAACTCACTAAGGGGACGTGTTTACCTTGGGCTATGCAGAGTACAGAAAAGATGAGAGTGAGTTTGTTTAGCAGTGCTGGATAATTGTGTACTATTTATAAAAAAACATTTCTGCCATGCTGGAGCGCAAAGGTTACAAGAAAGCAAACCATCACCTGCCATTGTTTACCAGGTAACATCTAACTCTCCAGTGGTTTCATGTAATTTAAACCCGAAATATACAGAAGATAAACTGAAACACAGATATTCAGATCTGAAGGTGTTGAAATCATCATTTCAGTCCAGAGGACTGTGAACAAGACGTAAATTGAAAGAAACTGTTATTTTGTGACATAAGGGCTCAGTCTTAAACACCTCTTAAAAAATAGTGAGAAATAATCTTAGATGAGCAATTCAGCTTCATTTTCTTTTCTAATAACAGTCACAGCATGCTAATTGGCAAACTTATAGAGGAATTTATTTCATAGATTTTTTTTTTTATATATTCAGTAGTTGAGATGTAAACAAAGTCATTCAGAGAGGTTTGTTGTCAAAAGATTTATTGTAGAGAAACTCTGATTTCTTTACAGTGGTGCTGATAGGAACCAGGGGTCACAATGTCTACAACACTAATATAGACATTTTATTTACTGTCCAAAACCACCAGTGAACCTACATGAGTCTTCTGAGTTTTTTATATGTAATGTTTATGATGGTAAAATAGTGATAAATCTCAAAAAATGTGTTTTCTTTGGGGACTTACAACACCCTGCAAATGTCTCTCCACCATTAATGAATTACAAAATTCCAAACCGTCATAATTCTTTAGTAAAAGAATGTATCCGGCATCAGGCAGTGTATTCTTATCCAGTTTGTGTAACACATTTCTGTGAGGGAGCTTTTAGAGGCATTAAAGTCTTCAGACGTCTGGTTCCTATCACCACCACTGTGAACAATTCCAACTCAGTATGTTTCTCTAGAATGGAGCGTTTAACATCAAACCACTCCGAACAACTTTGCTTATGCCTTATCGACTGACTTATACAGATCGGTGGAATTGCTTTTAATCAGCAGCAAGACTAATATTCCATACTATTTAATTATATGGTCATCTGTCTGTGTTTTGTGCACTGGACATATAGCAGTAGTCTGCATTTAATGAATCAGTGAAGTTTACTGTAGTGGTCAGTGGTGGATCTTCGATCACCTGCTGAAGTCGAGAGTTTCTAAGAGAATAAATACATTCTGCCTGTGTAAAGTCGCTCGCTGCAGCAAATAGATTCTGCCTGTGTAAACACTGCTCAATGACCACAAAGGCAGCACCAGTCGCTGTTAGCCTGTTGCTCTCCCTCAGCTAGCTGCTGCTACTCTCTCTGCCAGCTCCCCTATCTCTGCTGAAGCTTTGTAGTCCTGTGTAGTGGCTCAAACTGTTAAAACTTGTATTTCTGTGCGCCCAGAAAGCTAATGTTGTCCAGACATTGTCCTTCAGAAATTCATCTGGGGCAGTAGCCATGCTAGCTGATTTGTTCACAAACACTGCCCCTGAGTGAGGAGTGACACAGTAACATCTGCTGCCTCGCCTCTTGTAATTTGAAGTTGAACCATTTTAACTTTTATGTTATCAATTTTTTTTAAACAAAGAAACATTTTTTAGATCCACTGGGTGCATTAACCTCTTAACCCCTAAGGGCCTGTATATGGACCCACACTTCAGTTTCTCACTCTATTAGTTACATAACTTGTGTGTTTTACAGTAGTTATTGAATGATTTATAGAAATTACTGAGAAATATTTGTTTATTTTTTATCCATATGTAATCTTTACCATATTTTAAGAAAAGTAACAGTAGGGTTAAAATTATTCTCTTGGTGATGAGGACATTTTAATTTTGAGTTTGATTAAAATGATCACTTTTACATAATAAATTTAAAAAGTTGTATAGATTTTTAAAACTGGAAAACTGAAGGAGCAACTGAAACAAAAGTCCCACCTTGTCAAACCCGGCCTATTTTATCCCTTTGTTATGATGTCAGCACTCATCAGCACTCAAACATTTCTGATGTTTAAACCACCTTTGGGTCAACAGATCAGTTATTGTTCTGAATCGGTTTTATGCCATCTGAAATTGTACATGGCTACACAACGCGCATGCCAAATCGTCATCAGCAGGGCTTCTTCTACGTTTCAAGAAGCCCTTCAAGCTCTCGCATTACCAACCCTTAAAGGGAGAAGAAACATACTCTGTAGACGGTTTGCCTTCAGTATCTTAAACTCCCCTTTCAGAGAGTGGCTACCACCTTCAGACTGAAGAACCAGAGACATTGGTAAACTACAGATTCCAAAAATGAGAACTGATAGGTTTCAGAAGTCACCCATTCTTTTTTTCTTAAGAATGTTAAATGAAGATTTATAGAATGGTTTGCCTCTTTATGACGCATACAGGGTCTTATTTTATTTATTTATTTATTCCTTTCTGTTATAAATGTATAGGTGGCCTTGTAAATACTCGTGTAATTCAGTTTTGCTTTCTGTAAAACTGCAAAATGAGTGTGAAATAAATAAATCCTAAATAAACTCTACATCCATAATGACAACTAACTGGCAGTCTGGCACACTACGTTAAACATCTAGAGTGGATATTCTGATGTAGATGGACAAAAAATGGAGAAATATCCCAATTAGATGTTTTCCTCAAATCATTCAGCCCTGTGTGCTTTTAACAGTAATTTAGAAAAGAAAACTGGCAAAACATCATTTAGGTAAAATCTGCTCTTCATACCAAGCAAGACTCATTGAACCTGACGCTGAGTGATGAAGCTAAATATACCCGAAGGATTAGCACAAAGCTACTTTATGATACTTAGTTATCTGACTACAATTAAATAAGAAGTCGAACAGTAAAAATCAGACTCAAATACTTTATAAAAAAGTGAAACTGGTCTTAACTTTTGACGGCCAGAATAAGATTGAGTGCAAGCTTTTCGGTGGTGATGTGGGGGGTGGTGGGGACTGAAACGAAGTTCCCAGAATCCAGCTCACTAAAGTGTGCGTTTTCATGCCTCTTTCTTTGCTGCGCTATCTTGGGCCTGCCGGTTTGTTTCACAACGTCTGAAAAGCGGCGTTCAGAGTTTTTTGCAGCGCTGCACAGTGGATTTGTGTGTGGGACACAGTTCTCTCAGTGCCAGGGCGCTGCAGTGGACCGTAGGCAAACTATGTGCATAAATGAAGGTGTTGATTTAGTGCGGCACCGCGGTCTCGGACGCCACCCCCCCACCAAAACAGCTCTGTAATGTTTGTATCCAGGAGATGTTTACAAGGCCAGGCAGATATTCCATTATGATTTCTCCTCGAGTTTACTTGGATTTGCATTTGGAAAAGCGAGCCGGTCAGTAGAGGCCAGCGGCCGGCCTAGACAAACGGAAATCGCACTGGTGGAAAATTACACTCATATCATGCCAAGTCAGTTACATCACACTGTTTAATAAGTCCACGTTTCACAAAGAGTTACACAAGGACAGAAACTCTGGCTCCTCTTTTTGGCTGTTTGAAAGTATAGTTGCCCCAAGCGTGCTGGGTGTCTGAAATTTTCTTCCTTAGTTTGATGCTGGAGCTACGAAACTAATGTAGCTAACATGCTGCAACTAATAGAAGTCTATGGGCCAGTTTCCTCGACCCAGATTAAGCTTATGCCTCGACTGAAAAGAATAGGCCTCATTCACCAAAATCTTCCTGAGTTTTTTCTTGAATTAGTTCTTTAGAAAGGTCCTTAGAAAAAGTCTACGTCAGATTCATGACGTGTTCTTAAACCGCAGAACTGTTCACACCTTTGTGCTCGTGAGTGTGTGTAGATTCTGTTCTTACCTAAGAAGAAATTCCAGATAAGAAAACACTGATTCATGTCAGAATCTTCATGAAAACAACGTAAGTGATTGAGGCCCAATGTCTGGGACAGACCTTTATTATATTAGGTTCCCAACTTGAAAAAATGCAATTATCAGACATAAATAAATAAGACAGCAAAAGGTAATCTGATGGTTTATTCACAGTTAAAAGTAAAGTGGGGAGCAACAAAATGTTATGGCATTTTAAAAAAGTAATAGTAAGTCTTATTAAATAAAATAATCTCTTTCGGTAATTTCCTGACATAAAATTGCTATGAAAAGCTATTTGGTCATTCTGGATATGAATTTTATAAAGTTCATTCTCAGTGCAATACAACATTCCCAGTTATTAATACATTTACTTTAGGCCTGATTCTCAGTTTTGTATTTTTGTTGTATTGTCTGTGTCTCATATTAACGTTATGCTGATCCTTCTTCGTCTCTTAGTTATCACAGGAACGGTCATCACTGCTGTGATGCGTGGAGGAAGCATGTATGCTACTGTTTCCATAATCAACGTCTACAAAGAGGGCAGTCTGGCCATCCAGCAGGCTGGCAAAACCATGAGCACCAAGATCGTAATCCTGTGCAAGAAATGCCCTTCAGTCAGGCGAGGTGAGTGGTACAGTGCCGACTCCCCACTGGTTCACATTTCGTTAAATATTATACCTAGGGCTGCAACGTTTACTCAACAAAGTTGATTAGTTGATTGGAGCTTTAGTACCCACAACAACTACGACGCTGTAGGGGGTCCCATTTCTCGCTTTGGCAGCAGCCTCTTACAGAAAATTGAGATACAGGCTACATCAGTTTGTTAACAGCTGTATGACCAACTTGGTAGAAAAGAAGAAGTACAAATGTGAGCTAAAATGCATTTGTTTATTCATTTGCTTACATTAAGCTACATTTTGCTTGTGATCTCTATTGAGCCACTGTAGATTAGCTCATGTAGATTAGCAATTAGCTGATTTAAAAATCAAGTATGTTTGGTAGTGTAATTTTGCTGGGTACAAAATTATAGTACAGGACAGGCCCTCTGAATAATGATGGAGGCAAAATGAGTGGAAACAGCAGAATGCTTTGACTAGCTGATTACCTATTGGGCTGAAAATAATGTAAAGCTGTAGTCTTACCTTTTTAGGTAACAGCATAAAAATGTAGCAGCACACAGTCGGATACACTTTCATCAAAACCATGTTTTAAGTACATCTCAGGGACATTGCTAGAAAGTTTTAGATGAGTTGATGAAGGCTGCCTCTTCAAATGAGTCTTTTCTCCTCAGTCGACGATGTTCCGACGTTATTTGTGACACATATTTTCATTGTTTTTGGACCTAGGTAACGTCAGCTAAAGGAGCTAGCTTAGTCAGCACTAAAGGTGCGCTGTCACTGCTTTCTCAGTCACATCCTTAACAATGCCTGCTGGGAACATGCTCACGTTCAGGCACACGTTTCGGAGTAGCAAAGTATAATGTAACATACTCGCAGATACAAGCAAAACTGACGTGTTTTGCTGAATTGTTGGCCTTTATATTTTCTCTGTCTTCCTGTAATAAAATATAACAAGTACCTCAATAGCAACTTCAGTATTCAAAAACTGGCACCTTGAACAGTTCCCAGTTCTCGAGTACTGTGCACACCCCTACTGATCAATTGTGTAATAGCTGATGGCTTCATTGATTATAGAAATAATAGTACTTTGCCGCCCTAATTATAACTGATTTAGTCCTGTCTTTTATAACACATTTATAGAGCCATGCACTAATGAGCTCTGAGATTTGAGTTGTTAATAATGGTTGTTGTCAGCCTTCTTTGTTGCTGTTTCTTTCAATCGAGACAGTCACTGTGTAATTCTGAAGAAACACTCCATGGGTTTTAACACTGAAGTACTTCATAGAAAGTTCAGAAAGTTCTGAACTGATAAATGTAGACTGCTACAGTTAGCAGGCTCCTCAACCCACCATAGCGTATGGCTCAGAGTTTGCCTACCAAAAGCATTCTCATGGGTTTGATGACTGTGCAAGGTAAGCAGCACAACTCACGGTCAAAGAATTACTGATAAAAATGGGTTACAACGTTACGTTACCTTACTATGAAGAGTATTCAACCCCATATGTTTATATCATTGTGTATAAACATATGGAATGACAGTAAGATGAGGTACTGATGAATGACCCATCCTGAATGTCTCTGCCGATCCGCCACTGCATTCAGGCTCTTTCTGTGTGATGTCACTAGGCTTGAACTACATCTTCATGGGCCAGACAGACGAGGAGGGCCGTGGGATGATCGCCCCGCACCATTTCGTCATGGCCTTCAAGGCCAAGAACCAGAGAGCATTCAACGTGCTGAAGAACAAGAGGTGCTGAACTCCGATTTCTTCTGGCCCCATCCTGAAACTCGCAAGCTTACACTTTGCTTCATGAAGTTGCAATCAAGAATTCTCCACCAGTGAGAGTGGCTTCCTCCATAAGGCTTTAATCCGGACCAATCAGCACCTGATGAAGCAATCTGATGAAGTGTGGGGGGGTGAACAGTGATGATGAGAAGGAATGAATGATGGGAATGAAAATCAAGAAGTGTCTATGATAGAAAAGGAAGAATAACAGTGGAAGGTAATCCAGTAATTTCTGACCACAGTCAATGTAGACATTCCCAAACTTTTGCAAACGACTCGAAGGCCAGACTGATTTAAAATCCAGAGCACAAGGACCTCACGTTCTCCCACAAACACCTATGTTAGGCGGGTGTGCCATATCTATGCATGTTTGTCAGGGGATTCTAGAACATTCACCCTCATTAACACTGTTCCACAGTGTTCTCCTCCATTCCTATTGCTCTAGAACACCCCCCCCCCATTCACACGTTTGACATTGTTTTAGAATGTCCTTCCACTTTCATGTTATTCTAGAATGTTCTCCTCCATTCACATTGTTCTAGAACAGTGGGCACCAGCCCTGGTCCTGGAGATCTGCCTTCTCGCAGAGTCTAGTTCCTACCACGATCTGCCACACCAGCTCCAGCTAAGAAACTTCTTCAGAAGTTTTGGTTGGATTGGGGGCAGCATGTTGGATGCAGGTTGGAACTAAACTCTGCAGGAAAGTAGATCTCCAGAAGGAGGGCTGGTGACCACTGCTCTAGAACATCCCCCTCAATTAACAATGTTATGGAATTTCCTTCTGCCCATTCACACTGTCCATTCAAAGCTCTATAGTGTTGTCCTTCATTGATGTTGTTCTAGAACGTTTTCCTCCTTTCACGTTCCTCTAGAATGCTCTCCACACATTAACATGGTTCTAGAATCTTCTCCCTCAATCACAGATTCATTTAGCTCTTATTCTGGAACCATATAACCAACTGCTTTTGCAGTTTTCCTGTTTGTAGGGGAATGGTTGGTCAGTGTGCCGCGATCTTAAGCATAACAAAGTGAAAGTTCTGCAATTTCTGGATGGTGGCAAGAGGCTACATGTCTTTACTCTCTTTCTTACTGAGACCACACCCTAAGCCCCCATCCATGGATGTGTGGTTAAAAAAAAACCCACCTTGCATGTTTCAGCTCTATCCATTGGGCCAAAAACTGATAAAGCACAGTTGACCAAGGTTGGCTCTATGTGGACTTCTTGCTCCATCCTTAGATCTCTCTCTTTTGAGAATGTTTTAGAAAAATGACCATCAGCAAGAGGGTGTCTGGAGAAAATGATTGGTGAGAGAAATGATGGATAATCCTGCTGGTTTATTACATTATGAAGATTAGACAATCCAATCTTAAGGCTAAAACATCAGCATCCAACAAATTTGCAGGCCCAGAAAGATAATGAGTTTCTGTGTGACGTAGAACAGTGTTTTCCAACTTTTCCCCAATTTTAGTGCTTTCCCTGCTTTATTTAACATACCCACGTCAACCCATTAAGGGGTTGTTAATGAGCTGATTAGTTAGATCAGGCATGGTGGGCACAGGGAAAACCCTAAAATGTCCACGATGACCAGGTTTGGGAAACACTGATGTAGAACATAGGACTTTTTTTCTGGGACTGCAAAATCCTTGCATGCAAATGATGTAGCCAAGAGACTAGGTTACAAAAGATTAGGTAGATTAGCTAATAGGCGGATATTGCAAAGCATGGATAACATTCAAGATGTTGGTGTTGCTTTTTGAAAATGACACTGTTTACAGAAGAATCTTCATTTCATTTCTTCAAGATGGATGTACAAAATCTGAGGAGCATCTTATGTGGTGATTTAAGTGCAATAATTTAGTAGCATCATTTTGCATTGGTTTGGTATCATGCTGGACTTTTCATCACTTTTCATTTTTAACGCAAGAAAAGCACTCCCAAGTTTTTTTTTTCAAGAGTTAATATGAATGCTTACATTTGAGTTGAGATGTTTATGAAATGATATATCCTGAAATTAGCATTTTAAAGTATTTTATATGAAACTGATTCTTGATGGTGAATGTTAATTTATAAATAATTGTTTTGTGAGAGATAAAATAAAACTCATGATCTATTTTGTTTTGATCATTTACTTTAAACTATGATCAATTTTCTATGCATTCTTTGTTTATATTAGGAGCTTTTCCTAAACAAATGATGAGGGGAAATATAGTCAATACAGAGTGCTAGACAATGAAATGATGTTAAATTGCAGAACGGGTTGGTAGCGGCCCCTCATCAGATATTCATGTCCGCCAACTCTGAAAAACGATATTACGCTTCCAGACCTATTAAAGGGAAAATACTGCAAGCAGCTCAAGATGTTGGTAAAAAAGCCATAACTGGATTATAAGTAGTTATGAATTCATTAAGAGACCACCGTTTATTTAATTTCCAGTCAAAACAGAATGTTAAATACAAGATATTCATTTTTCAGAAACCCATATTTAACCAAAATTACACAAAAGACAGACATATGTCAGATTTTTCAGTATTTGTTGTGTCCACCCTTTACCTTTATTACAGCTTTCATTCTTTTCAGGAGACTCACTTTCAGCTTTTCAAAGAAATCGCATTTCCTGCTCTTCACGATCCAAACAATACCAATTAACAATTTGGATCCAACAGTCCATAAAACCTCACTCTACATCTCAGATGTCCAGTTTCTGGTGTTCTAGTGCTAATTTTCTTCTTTGTTTTTCTTGTTTGTGCTTCTTTTTCCATTTCCTTTTCTCAGTAAAGGCTTCTTGACAGCTATACATCCTTTAAGACCAATAGCGTTGAGACATCTGGGTAGTTGCTTGTGTGAATGTTAGTGTCTCTTTGAAGAGAAGCTTTGTGAGCTGCTTTTTTTTGGAGGACACAGCTGTAACTGATTGGTAGAGTGGACACATTAGACACTAATAGATTTGATATTTTACTTAGTTTTGGAAGCTTTCGTGTAATTATTTGCTGCTTTTTTCTGACACTAAAAATAACGTACTTAATGGCTGTTTTGACTGGAAATTGAATAAACAAAAGAGCGGTCTCTGACTTGCACGGTACCATAACTCTTGTTTCAAATACAGTCTTGATTACTACAAGAAACATTTATTATGAAATGTATTTACTTTTTTATTTAACATTTATAGATTTAGATATTTGCTATATATTAAGGCAGCTAAGTATAAAGGGAGTATCGTAAAATAACCAAAAAGTTCCAAAGATAACTTAAATATACTTCAACAACTTCTGCTACTACCATCACATAAATTCTACTTCAGATTCAGCCTTGGCAGAACTTACACACCATAAAAAATGGCCCTGGCGAAGTATCCAGAGGGTTTGACAGCAATCTTTTGGGTTGTAGTCGCACTTCAGTCTGCTATCAACATCAGTGAGACTTCAAGTTTCACCCCCATAAGCATAAGCTGGACCAGAGGAAAATCAACGTGCTGCCTAGATGCCTCTGCATTTTCCCATCCAAAACTTGTGATGCAGTTATTGAATTTTTTTAAGATATTTCAAGAGAAGCTAAGAAAAAAAAAATTTTTTTCATAAACCTTTAATACAGTCTTTTAGTCAAAAACAAGCAACGCTTTTAGAAAACAAGTGGGATGGAAGAATATTACATCGCGAGTTCTGAATCTGGCTTTGGTGTGTAGAATAAATATACTCTAATAAAATTCCAGTAGAGTCCCAGGACCTCACTGTCTCCCTGTATCTTCCAAAGCAAGATAAGAAGAAGAAGAAGAAATGTTTCCAAGCATGCTAGGTCAGTTTCAGAGGCAGGGCATAGCTTAGCTTCTGGGGTAGAACATGGCATATTTGGAGGTGCGAAAGCCGAGGAGGTCCCTCATCTCGTTGCGAAATTTGGACAGGTCCTGTCGCAGGTCGTTGAGGTTCTCCACCGTAGCCTGGTCCGTGCTTTGCAGCTTCTGCCGTGTGGACGTCAGGTAGCGATGCACCAGGCAACACATGATCTTCTGGTAGTTCTCGTCCCTCTTCTGCTTCAGGTTCCGCCACTCCTGCAAAATCAACAGCCCCCACGACCAAATGAACAATCAAAGTCATACCATCAAAACCGCCTGGCCTTTTCTAATCATGAATGTGATGAAGGTCAGAGAAGCTGGATGGAAGAGTGGTTCTCTCGTTTCTTGTGTAGATACAACTCTCCTCAGCAGAAGCCTTGAGCTCCTGAGGATGTATCTTAGGTATTAGCTTGGAACACCTCAAAAAAGGCTGACTTTTTTTGTGAAACAATAACACACCACAACAGACTATATGTAAAAGGCAATAGTTACAAATAATATCCAGAATCCTGTCCTGCTGGGCTGACAGTGACGCACCTTAAGGCTGTTCTGACGCTTGACCTTGCCCGTGGAGGTGTGGGAGCAAATCCATTTGCTCAGGCTGGTCACCAGGTAGCAGAGCGTCTTTGGAGATGGAAGGATGTTAAAGGGTGGAGGCAACGTGCACTTGTCGTCAAAGTAGCTCAGCCAGAGCTTGGCCCGGGCAAACTTCCACTCCTTATCCTCATGGTTCTGGATGCAGTCAGAAAAACACCATTAAAACCAGAATGCAACGTTTCTCAACAAACTTTAATCTAGCAGGCCAAAGCCTATTTCGAGACCATGGAAACTAAGACCTAACTTGAAAAAGAGAAAGACAAAGGAGAAGAGTACAACAAGCCAGCACTGTGCAATCAGTATGAAATGCAGACACGCTTTGAGTCCAGAAATAATCTTTCAACCAAATGTGTAAGTTCGAAGTTTACACATTTTTTTTTTACATATTTATATTTGATATTTTACTCAATTACATTGTTTTAGAACAGAAATGTCAGCACATTTCAGGCAAGTATTACTTTCAATATTTAGAAAACCTTCAGACCTTCAGAATCTGCATAATGTTGTAGCGTCAGCAGAAGATGAAACACGGGTAGCCATGCTTCTGCTACAACAATTGCTTTTTATTGAACACACTGGCAAAAAGGGTCACATATGAAGCACTGAACTCAGGGGGGAGTCACCTCTAGTTACACACTTCGCCCCAACAGTGACCCCCCCACACGCAAAACCCACAGCCGACACTAAATAACACGCAAAACGTACACATAAACTAACAGACAACATAAACAACATAAATAGTCTCTTTTCAGGAGGGCGCTCACTAACATAAGCCCTTTGCTTGTGGTCATCTGCATAGCCACACCTCCCAAGTCTCAGATGCCAGCGCCAGCTAGTAGCTACAATACTTTACTTTGGAATTAGTTCACCTAACTTAAAATCAATTTTCAATTTGTATACTTTAAAATAAAGCTGGTGCTCTTGATTTAAATTGAATTGGGTTAAACTGAAAAAGTCAAAAGTCTGGATCTTTTATCTAATGTGGTGGTTGTAGCTTGAAAATTCAAGGACTAGTAGGTTTGGGATGAAAAGTGAGGGATGAAAAAGAAGAGATGGAAAAAGGGAAAGAGATGACAAACAGTTGCAGTTCTCTCTGCATCAGTAGTCAGAACCTAAACCACAAGTTTGGTCATTTTTGAAAGAAAGCTGTTAAAATTAGAGTACTTTGAAGAAGTCTATGAACAAAGAATGGAATGAAAAAAAAAAAGGGTTTAAATAATTGCTTTTAAAACTGCAAGTGGCCATGTGATGAAGACTTCTGGAAAGTTTTAAGATGATAGATTCAAAACTATGAAATGAGAAAGATTTCAAAATGTAAAAATTTCTGCTTAAGAAAGGTCAAACTTGCCAACTTTGAGACCTCAGAAACAAAGAGATTTTCCAAATCATGCACGTCAAAAGTTTAAAGTGACTTTCCTCTGTTATTGAAATGCTATTTCCTGGTTAGCTTAATTTAACTTAGTGCAGCGGACTGTGATAATGCAATGGAAAAAAATACTTATCATTATTAAAAAATAATTATTCCTATAAATGTAAAAATAAGTGATCATTTTCAGCGCAGGGGAACGCTGGGTGAGGGCAGTTAGACTCATTTGGAAGGTTTGACAGGTGTGATAAACAATGTAGAATATGACTGACTGACATCATCGATAAGTTTGGACTTTTTAGACTATCAGAATAGTCAAAAAAAAGCCATTGTGGTTAAAAGTTAACAATAAAAGCTAATGTCAGGTTAACATGGCTTGATTTGCATAGGACAGACATTTGAGATTTGCTCCTTGTCTCTGAAACGCTCCCCCTCTGCAAGTCCGACAGGCTGACTCTCTCCCTACATTCAAATCTAATCTTAAAACTTATTTTCTCTCACCGACAACCTTCACTCAAACCTCACCTCCATTTGGTTTTCCATTTCGTCTTTCCTGCACTCTTAAAAAAAGATGGTTGTTTAAGGGTTCTTTAATGAAGACAATGGTTCTATATGGAACCATGAACACTCAAAGAACCTGTTGCATGATTAAAGGGTTCTTTGCATCGTGAAAGGGTTCTTCAGATTGATAGAAAATGTGCTGTATGTGATTCTGTATAGAACCTTTTTGAAAATGGTTCTAAGTAGCACCAAAAGGGTTCTTCTATTGTTACGATGTCAAGCTTGTCACAACAGAAGAACCCTATCTGGTGCTATATAGAACCATTTTCAAAAAGGTTCTACATAGAACCACATACAAGGCATCAATCAGAAAAACACTTTCACAATGCAAAATCATGCAAAGGGTTCTTTGAGTGTTCATGGATCAATATAGAACCGTTGTCTTCAATAAAGAACCCTTGAAGAACTTTTTTAAGGGTGTATGTCCTCACTAATATTGTCTGTCTCAGTACTGCTGTGTTGTTTGTTCTTGATGTTCTGTGTACTGCTGTAATTGTAAACATCTTTGGGTTCTTGAAAAGTGCTTTATAAATATTATGTATAAGTAATATTTTTATTATTATTATTATCATCATCATCATCATCATCATTAATAGCATCTTTGGTGATGTGAATTTCTCCTTTAAACCTCAGTTCACTTACCGCAATCTGTCTGAAGCTCTTATGCAGCATGGCCACCAGAAGCTTGGTGAGAACGATCACCACGACAATGTTGTAAGTACCAACGATGAGGGCTCCCACAAATGAACGCAGCTCCTCCGTGTAGCTGATCCTGGTCACAAAGAGTGCCACATGGGCCAGGGAGAAGATATACCAGAACAGGGCGTAACACGTCCCCATAAACCTAGACAAGAGAGAGAAAAACGTCAAAGCTTCCACAAAGATATGGTTCACGTTTATTTAATACGAGATATATTGTTGATTTATCCATTTTAGCTTATGCATTTATCCTTTTAATTCACTGGATTCCTAAGTAATAAACTGCTTCAGTTTGATACATCCCAACACTGCTATCCGAGTAGAAAGGGCTTAAAAAAGCATTTTATGAGTGTAGAAATGCTATAAGGTACGTGTGGAAGGCGTCGTTGCTCTGCTGCTCGCAGAAGATGCCTTCGCAGTCTTTGCTGTCATCCTTGCTCTGGGACGGATCCTTCTTGTCTTTTCCGTAGAGTTGCGTCAGGCCGATGGTAAAGGAGAAGAGCACCAGTAGGAACAGGCCGAGGAACTTCCCGAACTCCTGCAGCATCTGACCCATAGAGATCTAGAGCCACACAAACATATAACACATTACAAATGCTTTATTTGGGGAACTATATATTTGGGGAACTATATATGTCATTTAAAATCAATGCTTTCAATAATAAACTACATTGGGTGCAAGTAAGTGTATACAGGGATTCTTATAAGTCTGTTCTGTGCAACTTTACAGCTTTCACATAATTTGGACACTAGAAAGAAATAAGAAAACATAAAGAATAAAGATTAAATTAAAATTATTATCCAAAAATCATGCCCTGCGATGGACTGGCGACCTGTACAGGGTGTATCCTGCCTTCCGCCCAATGACAGCTGGGATAGGCTCCTGCACCCCACCGCGACCCAGAAGGATAAGCGGTTTAGATGATGTATGTATGTATGTATCCAAAAATGATCATATTTAAAAAGTGTAGAGTAAATCTCAAGACAGATAACTTGACAAAAAGTGACTGTGAATAGATAATTACACCATTATAATTATAGATAATATTATAATTTTATGTTCAAAGAATTCTTAAAATATTAAAACATGTAAAAATACTGTGATGTTTAAATCCACACTGTATAAGTTATTATTGTATAATTAGACAGGGAAAGCTTGTGAATGAAGGTAGCTTGACAAAGCCAGCTAATAAAGCTTCAAAAGTTAAAGCAGTTGCACAAAACTGTTGATTGTTTTTGATAACTTGATTGGGTTCCACATAGTAACTGTGTTATTGCTACCTTGTTGCAATGGTATTCCAGCTTGTTCTTAGGGTGTTGCTTGATGGTTGCTGAGGTGTTGCTAGGCTGTTGCTTGGTGGTCGCTAAGGCGTTGCTAGGCCATTGCTATGCTATCTCAGCTGGTTGCTAACTTGTTGCCAGACCACTGCTAGGCCATCCCATAAGGTTGCTATGGCTGGTTGCTTCTAGTCCAGTGCTGTGGTATAGGAAGTGGTTGCTAAGATGTTGATAGGCCTTTGCTGTGGTATCCCAGGTGGTTGTTAAGGCGTTGCTAACATGCTAACATGCTTATATGATGTTGATGTAAGAGGAGCATCCAAAAACATTTGTCTACAGAGCGTATACTGACTATGAAAGTAGTGCTATAAGCATTATATAAGTGAAATGACTCTGTTTCAGGATGTTTAGCATCATTCATTCATTCATGCCGTAAGTCAAGTCAAAAAAAGCTCAAGCAACCAGTTCGGTGCAGATTCTATGATCGTGCCAAATTTCGGGTTCTAGCACGAAAGAGTAATAAGAAAACTTTTTAATACTAACCTAATAAAAAAAATGTTTATATGGCAAGTGATTCCAAACTTTTAAATGGTCACGTAAATAGTCCTGAATTCTACAAATATTAATGTGAAGAACATTTTCTGCCATTTTGGAGATACAAGGTTTTGTCAGTTCAACTTCTGCTGTTTACAGTCCATTTTAAAAGGAAAACGTTAAAACATTCCTATGGAGAAATCATGCAAGCTGTGAGCTACTGTTTACATAGACAATTGCAAGTGTCAGGCACTTGTCAGTCCAACAGATCAACACGTCTCTAATAATTACCAGTTGACAGTAACACTTTGATGAGGCTTAATTAAAGAGTTCTGTTTGTTTTTCCTCTTTTCCCTCCCGAGGAGCTAATCAGAGCAGCTATCTTTGGACTGATGTTTACTGCTGTTGTGTATCCACCTATTTTGGAAGTATCCAACATGACCGGGTAGAGCAGCTCATCATCGAAAAGCAAACATGTTTATGTATTTTTCTTGTGCTGTATGTTATCATTAACCAACCCTAAATGTCAGAAACAGCCCTCCCTTCACTGAACCAGTCTCTTCAGGTAAACACTGGTCAGTCCAGCAACGGGGCAAAGGCCAGGGACATGTTTCTACAGTCTCTCAGACACAACCATCAGGGTTAAACACTCGTTTACAAAGAACCAGACACATACAGACGAAGAACTGGCTTTCTCCGGACGCTCTTAAAAATAAAGATGCCAAAAAAGGTTCTTTGGAGTGATGCTGTAGAACAAAGGACTTCAAATCCAGACCTTGAACCCAGTTTCCAGTCCTGGATTTTGTCATCACTGGTAGTTTACTGAACTGTTGATGTAACTGATTGGCCACCATTAGTGATTACAACAGTGATTACAAAATCCAATACCAGAAACCGCATTCAAGGTCTGGATTTGAAGACGTCTGCCAAAGAAGAACCACTTTTGGCTCTTTGAAGAACCATTTTTAACAGGATTAAAGGGGAACTCCACTATTTTTTTTTCAAAACTGGGGCATAATTCAGTGGATGATGTGATCAAAGTCATTCAGAGTGGTTTGATGTGAAATAGTTAACTGTGGAGAAATTTAGGAGTTCAGATTTCTTTACAGTGGTGGTGATAGGAACCAGGTGTCATGATGTCTACAACGCAAATATATGCATTTTTTTTCCTATCCAAAACCACCAGTGAACGTACACTTCTCCAGAGTTTTAAATGCAATCATTATATGCATATAAAAATATTTTTCTTTGGGGGCTATTTTGCCTGCTGTGAAATAACTTTCTGTGAGGGAGCTTTTAGAGGCAATAAACTCCTCAAACATCTGGTTCCTATCACCACCACTGTAAACACTTCTGACTCAGTAACTTTCTCTAGAATGGAGCATTTCACACCAAAACCACCCTGAATGACTCTGTTTACATTTTAACCATGCAGAAATTTTCATTTCTTGGTGGAATTCCCCTTTAAAAGTTTTTTCCTAGAACTGCACATCCAAGCCAAGAAGCATTCTGGCATCTTTATTTTGAAGACTGCTGTTGATCACACTCTGCCACAGACACAGGTTTTCCAGTGTTTCTGGAGGACGGTGATGAGATGAATTCCCGGATTCCTGGGTGTCCTGTGTAGAGGATTTGGGCTGTAATGGCTGCACTGTTTTTGGGTGAGCGCGCCTCCATTACTGTGATTCATATTCCTGTCACGCTGAACTCCCCAGTGAGCAGTTTCCACAGCTAATCTTTCACAGGCCTGTTCTGCAGCAGTGTGATTTAGCAGCAAACGGCGGGACGCGACGTACTGACCGCAGCGTATCATCCACACAGCTGTGCTGGAATGCAAAGGGTCCCCCTCACTGAGGTACACCGGTGTGGACTTAGCAGTCAAGAGCTATGACTTTTGTTTTGCTATACTGCTCAAATGAAATTACATCATTACATGAGTGAATTCATTGTGACTAACGCAATCACATTAACACTCCATTTACATTCTGTATGGACTGCTTTGAGTCTGTAGAACTTCATAGGTTTCAGACAATTAGTAGAACATTAGGAAGCTATAATTGAGATTATAATTGTCCCACCTCCCAGCTGAAATGGATGTTTTGATGAGTTTGACTCTCTTTCTGTTCACATCTATTGGTCAGCACTCTGTGAAGTTTGATTTGTTTATGATGTAAGTGTCCTCAGCTCAATCAGTAAGTGGCGGGTTGTTGCCCCAGTACTTTCAAAAGTGGTGGCTCAAATGCCAGCTTGCCCCTGTGATTCCAGCTGCCCTGATTTACTTGAATGTTATAAAAACACTGCCCAGATAAACAGCTTTAAATATAGTTTCTTTGCCTTAGACTGTTGCACAGTACTGTATATATTTTGACAGTTTTGCAATATTATGGCAGTTTATGGCAGTCAGTTTATAAGTGCCGTGTCATTAATGGCCTGAAGTACACTCCTAAAAAAAGATGGAGAATTTGCTGTAGATGGTTCTATATAGAACCTTTTTGAAAATGGTTCTATATAGCACCCAAAAGGGTTCTTCTATTGTCATGGTGTCCAGCTTGTAACAACAGAAGAACCCTTTTAGAGGCTATATAGAACCATTAGGAGGCTATACAGAACCATAGGAGAATTTGCTGTAGATGGTTCTAAATAGAACCTTTTTGAAAATGGTTCTATATAGCACCCAAAAGGGTTCTTCTATTGTTACAGTGTCAAGCTTGTTACAATAGAAGAACCCTTTTAGAGGCTATATAGAACCATTAGGAGACTATACAGAACCATAGGAGAATTTGCTGGAGATGGTTCTATATAGAACCTTTTAGAAAATGGTTCTATATAGCACCCAAAAGGGCTCTTCTATTTTTATGGTGTCAAGCTTATAACAATAGAAGAACCCTTTTAGAGGCTATACAGAACCATTAGGAGGCTATATAGAACCACAGGAGAATTTGCTGGAGATGGTTCTAAATAGAACCCTTTTGAAAATGGTTCTATATAGCACCCAAAAGCGTTCTTCTATTGTTACAGTTCTATTGCTTATAACAGCAGAAGAACGCTTTTGGAGGCTATATAGAACCCTTTTCAAAAAGGTTCTATATAGAACCATCTATAGCACATGCATGCAAATTTTCCATCTATCCGAAGAACCCTTTCATGATGCAAAGAACTCTTTAATCATGCAAATGGTTCCTTGAATTTTCATGGTTCTATATAGGACCATCTGCTTTATTAAAGAACCCTTGAAGCACCATCTTTAAGAGTGTACGCACAAACAGCTGAAGAACCGTCCACACATTAAAGGGTTAAGCAGCCAGTATAATGGCTCACTTCTGGCCCACCAGACAAACAAGCAGAGTGGCAGGAAGACACTGTAGCTTCAACTCCCAATGACCACACAGTTAATCAGAAGTGATTTGTATTTTCCTGCTGAATAACTTTACCCAGAATTGAACAGGAAACCACTGGGGGTGGACGGAGTTACAGACCAACCACCGGCAGCTCAGACTCGGCCATTAAGAGCTGCCTGAAAGGTGCTGAGACACAAGATACAGTATGAAAACTGTAAAAGACGACAACAGCGACATCAAACTACACTGTGCAGTGTCAGGATATTTGAAGTACAACTCCTCGTAAGCATTTGATGATGATGATATGATGAAGTTATTGTCCAGAATGCCTCAGATTTTAAATTTAGTGATTAAATCTCGAGACCGATATCTTGACATTGTATAAATAAATATTGCAGTATATTATTTGTCACAGATGTGTTATTTTGATTTAAAATTAAGTAACTGGACTGCCTCAAAGGGGAATTCCACTAATCTTTGAATAAGTAACCAAGTAGAGAAACCGTGTCAGAATTGTTCACAGTGGTGGTAACAGGAACCAGACGTCTGAAGAGTTTAATGCCTCTAGAGGCTCCCTCTCAGAAAGTTAATACATGAAAATGGTTATGAATACACTGGATGATGTCAGAGATGCTGTTTCATACTATTTTTAAAGGGCCCACTATTTTTTTTTTTTTTCCCTTGAGGTCCACTTATAACATTTGGGTGGTTTTATGCAGCAAAACTGGTCATAATTAATTTTCCAACCTCTTTTTATCTCTTACAATTAAACAGACTGTTTTTCTTAGTGTGCCTTTAAAACTAATATCAGATAAACAAGATCTGTTCTGATTGGCAGTCCTGTATTGTGCCTCATTCAAAAAGCACTCAGAGTTGACACACTATTTATAACTTCAGTGTTTGTGGGCGTGGCTCAACTGCTGTAGGCAAAATAGGCGGATATATGTAAATGAGTTTCTAGTGATATCACAGAAAAAGCGAATTCAAATTGGGGAAAACAAACAGATTCCATCTATGGACTGTACGGACTTAGTAGCGAATGGCACGTTTTGATACTTCAATAATGTTTACACTCTACATCAAACTCCTTTAATTCAAAAAAGTGAGGAACTTGGTTTTCCATGATACGTTCCTTTTAAGATTAGGTTTTGGCCTAAAACTGAGGTCAAGTCATTTATGATGGAGGGGTACATGCAGGACATTGTAGAGTTAAATAGTCCCAAAGACAGATTTTTTCAGATTTTCCTGTATCAAAAAAAACACATGTAGCTTCACTGGTGGTTTTTGATAGTAAAAAAAATGTCTATATGTGTGTTGTAGATGTTGTGACCCCTGGTTCCTATCAACGCCACTGTAAAGAAATCAGAGTGGTTAAGTTTCTCTGCAAAGAACCATTTCGCATCAAACCACTCAGAACAACTCTGTTTACATCAGTGATTAAATTATGCTGAAATTTTGAAAATCTCTGGAATTCCCCTTTGAACATGAAATAGTAAATTAACAAATCAGTAATTTGTGTTACATTCTGTGAACCTATTATTTCATGTTCCATAATATCAAAATTTGAGGTCAGCCAGATAACCTAAGTTAAAACACCAAAACCATTTCTATAGTGTAGTAACTTCTGGTTGTTACCAAAATCCTGAAATACTGAATTTATCATTTTTAAATCTACACTGTATATGTTACAGTTAATAAAATAACAAAAATCATTAATATGACACATATATGGAATATAATAATTCCAAACATTTGAAAGTGTGTCTCAACATGCAAGTGGGTGAGTCTGCAGTTTTATGCAAAAGTTTAGGCACCCCTGGTCAAATTACAGGGTTTGCTGATTTTCTAAACGAAAGTAGGCTAACCCATCCTCTACAAAGAACACACTTACAAATGGTATTTTGTTTTACGATTTTTAGTGTCCAATTTCTATTTATTTGCAGAGTCTGACAGGTTGGAAAAAACACGAAATGTAAAACATGCCATAACTTTTGTACAGGCCACATTTTATGTTTAATGTTTTTCCAATATGTTAAATTCAGCAAATAAACAGTAATTGTGTATCAAATTTTGCAGAATTCTCTGTAGTGTTCTCTGTAGAGGATGTTTACTTATCACTAGCCACTTTTACATGCAGCCTAATAATCCGTTAATAATCCGACTAATAGCTCAGTTGGAATAGAATACGTCCATGTAAACACCTCAATCGGAATAGACTAGTACGATTGAGGCCATTCGGAATACAGTTTCTATCTGATTGAACGAGGGGGGTAATCCTGTAAATAATCCGTTAAATAGAAGAATAATATCCGTGTAAACGTCTGTATCTGATTACATTCCCTATCAGAAAGTTTAAGTCCGTTCTGATCATGTTTGTCACGTGATAGTGAAAGTTTATACCGTTTAACATGGCGGAGCAGAAACTGGTCTGCAGAGGAGACGAAGTTTATGCTGTGATCTTTAAAAGACGGCGGTGGGACAGACGTCCAGCTTATGTGTCTCAGAACATGACGTCTTCCTCTCAGCCTTCTTTAATAAGGACATGTGAAGGACGTTTTCCTGAGTCTGACATCATTTTAAAGTGATTAAAAACACAAGCACTGCTCACTGCTGCTCATCTCACTCACGTGACTGGGACTCACGTGATGCTCGCTGTCATGGTAATCAGATTGGCAAATGTCTTTGCATGTAAATATAGCCACTTAGACAAAACATGTAATCTGACCAGGGGCACCAAAACCTTTGCATGTTTATGTGTGTGAAATTGATTTTATGTTTCTGAGTACTGTTCTGAGCTCCTCAGCCAGGCGGTGATGTCAGTGTGAGCATGGTATCTATAATCCTGCCCTGTTCTGCAGTAATAGTGGTATTCCACTATTCCAGCATGCTGTTAAAGGGCCCATATAATAAATAAATAAATACATTTTTCCATCAATGTAGTATGTAAAGCAGCAACTAAGCTACAAAAACAACCCATTTTAAATTCACTCTTATTGTGATGGCACAAATACAAACACATTTACATACATATATATAAATATATACGCCTATTCAGCCTGAATATATAAGGAATGTTTCAACCAGGACTGTTTTCTGAATGAACCATAATACAGAGCAGCCAATCAGAAAAACGCTCATTTACATACATCAGTCTTAAAGGCACAGTAACAAAAACAGCATAAACCACACAAATGTCACATGTGGGGAAAAATATAGAAGAAAAGTATATATGAATGTTTATAGAATATAAGCCCTTTAAAATCACTGCAAACAGTCCTGAGAAGAGGATGACCTCATCAATTCAGCTGCACTGGTACTTTATGTAATAGCTGCCCCTTGTTGTGATAGGCAGCGAGAGAGAAAAGAGGGAACGATAGAGAGAGGCTTTGAAGCCTGAGCCTACACAGTCAGTGTCAGATTTTCTGCCACAAATCCGCATAAAGCGGAACGCAGTACTCGAGGCAACGGCGGTATTTTGTGTGTGAACTCGAGAGACAAATGAAGAACAGACACGAGAAGAACTGGCAGAGAAAAAGCACACAGGAGAACAATGGAAAGGGAGAAGAATAGCCAGAGTACTCAATCTGACGGATAGGAAAGACAGTTGTTTTTCTCTGGAATCCATCTAGTTAACAGCTGGGCCTGTGGGCATTACATAATCAAAACAGTGGTCAAAGAAACAGCCATTTTCTCTGGCTCATTATTCTGTCTGCATTAAGAGAACCATCAACTGGATTATAATATTTAGCTATGAAGAAGCCTTGATTTACAAGCAATAATACTGGCCGGACCTGCGGAATCACCAAGCTGGCATCTGTCGTCCCTCTTCTGGAGCTGATTCACAAGCTAAATCATGTTCACTGAGCTCCTGAACCCTAATAACATTCCTCTGAAATGACTGCGCACATCTTTTCCAATATACGCTGCCACAGGACCGCCAACATTGCATCTCCGAGCCAAGTATTTTTGCTAGCTCAAAGTGAATATCCGATGGCTAAATAAGAGGCAGTGCTGCACAAGAGTCTGAGAGGCTGCATAGTCAACTAATAAATCCTCTAGTTGGCACTGTGGAGAGCTGTTGACTAATGAGAGAGAGTCAGTATGTAGGAAGAGTCAACATGGAGGGTCCAAAAATGCAGTATGTGTGTATATATATATATATATATATATATATATATATATATATATATATATATATACACAATATATATAGACACACACACGCACACACACATAAGCTGAACTGGAAAATCTGAAAAAATGTTGAATAACCTTGTTTAAAAAAAAAAAAAGAGAAACATAGTGTTGAACCAACAACCTTCCAGTTACTGGCTGCCTCTCATACCTCTAGTCTTCTGATGAAATATCTGTTGTTTATCTGAATTTAAGAAATATGACTACTGAGAACAAACTGTCGTATTTCACAATTCAGAGGTAAAAAACTATTGGACTATAAAATTAAATTAAAAAATAAAAAGACAAGTACAAAAAAAGATATCAGCCAATATTACCAATTATTGGAATTTTAGACCCATAAAATTGAAACATATTGTCCACATTTTTTTTTTCTAGGGTTCAGCCATAATTTTTCATGTTGCTTGGACTCTTACATAACCAGAGCTGTTAGTGGTCCTTTGTATATAAATAGCAATATTGGTGGCACCCTGTATATAAACAGATGTGTTGATGGCCCTCTATATACACACAAAGGTAGGTATATATGAACAGAGGTGTAGGTGGTCCCTGTATGCAAACAGCGGTGTTGGTGGTCCCAGTATAAACAGAGGTGTTGGTGGTGTTCTGGACGTAAACAGAGGTGTTGGTGGTCCCTGAATATAATCAGAGGTATTGGTGGCCCCTGTATATAAACAGAGGTGTTGGTGGTGCTCTCTTTGTTCATAAACAGAAGTGTTGGTGGTCCCTGTGTATGAACAGATGTGTTAGTGGTGCTCAGTGTATAAACAGAGGTGTTGGTGGTCCCTGTATATAATCAGAGGTGTTGGTGTTCTCTCTACATAAACAGAGGTGTTGGTGGTGCTCTGTATAAAAATAAAGTTGTTGGTGGTCCCTGTATATAAACAGAGTTGTTGGTAGTATATACACAGGTCTTGGTGGTCCCCTGTATCTAAACAGAGGTGTAAGTGGTCCCCTGTATATAAAGGGGGGAGCTGGTATTTACCTGTAAAGGGCCAAGGATGGAGCTGGTGGTGTACATGAAGAAAAGGCGGAGGTAACTCAGCACGTTGGCAAAGGCAAAAAGCCCCTCCGCTACCAGAATGGGGTGAGATGCATCCCAGTGCTTTCGCTCCATGTCTTCCACATTATTAAACTGAAACAACACACACCAAACACATTTCTCAGTTTCTGTACAATGCCTGCAAAACAGCTTTTAATTCATACTTCATTAAATCTATTCTAATCTACGACAAAAGAGAAATCTGTCATTACACTGCATAATTACACCCAGTAGGGAAGCAACACAGCAGCACCACCTGGTGCGGTGGGGGGTTCAGTGCCTTGCCAGAGGGCACAAGCAGAAACACCCAGCCAGTTGTGGGATTTGAACCTATGACCTTGCAGTTGCTGACCAGCAGTAAATTAAATCTGTTTTTGCTGGTTTGCAATACTTGAAAAATACTAATAGTTCAAAACTCATTGTGGACAGACTTGGACTTAAATTTGAAATTTAAATGACCCCTATGCCCTATACTATATATTAATAATCTTTACTGTATTAAAACAAATGACTGAACATTCTGTCACCAGCAAAACAATCATAACACTACTAAAACTTTACCAACTGTTTCAGTAGTGACTGTTTCAGCTACTTTTTAGCATAACTCAAAAACACTAGCCAGTACATGACTAGCAAACATTGCTCTGCACAGATTCCAGAATATTCCATTTTGTCACTACCCAAACAATCATAACACTACCAAAACCTTTCCATTTGGGCTTAACAAATCATAACATAATGCTTGTAAATATGTATGGTCTGAATACTTAAATGTTTTTTTCATAGTTTTTACTCTGGGACCACAGTTTGGACTAATTCAGTAGAATAATTTTATCGGTTTTGTCGATAAATTTGTCGGCCAATACTGATGTTCTTCAGATTTATCTGTACTGCCGATATCTTGCTGACAAACCACCGATTTTTAAAACCGTTCACTTCTGAGGATTTCAAGTTCATTCATAGCTGACAACTGACAATTACATCAGTCAGGAAAGCACTGTTTAACTAAAACTACTGGAATCTGATAAATGTTTAAGCAGAACAAATTATACTGGCCAAATATTAAATAAATGATATAGCTAACTATGCTGCCATGCTGAGAGGTTGAAGGCTAGCATAAGATTCCTCCAAGACATATGAAGTGCCACCACATCTTTTCAGACTGCTGCTAACACAATGTCACTGGACAGCTCAACAGGTGAACACTGACTACCAAGTCTGTTAAATCAGCTAACAGATGCCTGCGATGGGATGAGTGATGGGGGAGAGGGAGGACCACTCAGAGAGAGCAGGCCAGGAATGCTCTCTTGGACCAGCTATGGACAACTGGGTCATCGATGAGATTCAAACTCACTATCCCAACACAGGGCCAACACTTAGATGGTTGGGCCACTTGGGAGCCCAAGTCATCAGACTGTTAGCAAATTGTCACAGCAGTTGGGTGTTACTGCAAAACTGAATGAACAATTGATAAAAAGATGATGCCCATGCACTTTATCCCCTTGTTGTGATGTCAGCACTCAAGCCTTTCAGGGGTTTAAACCTTTGGAAATCACAGTGTGATACAGCAGTGCTACTGTACATGACAGAGTTGCACTATAAAGGATTGTGAGAATGGCACAGAGGATTACAGGATGTGACCTATATTCACTCAACAAGCTTCACACCATCCACTCTCGCAATAAAACCCAATCCATTATTCAAAAGTTCAACCACCCTGCTCACAGACTGTTCTCTCCTCGCTGTGCTCTGGCAGGCAATACCGCATTATTAAGGCATGGACTGCCAGACTGAAAAACAGCTTCTACCCCACTGCAGTGCTCATTCTAAAGAGTAACTGTAATGACTAATATATTTGTACAGCACTATTTGCCCCAATTTACGTATTTACTGTTTGGATGTGGAGTTTTTTTTATTATAAAATAAAGTATTGCCATTAAGAAATAATGGTCCATTATGCCATTGTACAGTGTATCCTTGGGAGGTCAAAGCAAATACAAATTCTAATGTATATGTACATACAGCAGTTAATTACTCCACTTCAGTCTGCTACTGCAGGCATTTTCATCATCATCTGACAATGTAAATCTTAGATCCCTGCCCTGCTATTTTCACCAGTAATTATAGGTAATTTAATCAGTGATTTTACTGTGGCTGTGTCCACTTTCCAGAAAATAGAACTAGAAATAGAACAGCATGATAGATCATGCATGAAATAAGCTCAGGTGTATTTACTAATGACAAAATAGCTTCAGGTCACATGCACAGTCGCTACTTCACATTATCAAAGGTTAAAAATGTGTATTTTTAAATGCTGTACAAATGCTCTAGTGTGGTGCATAAAAGCAAGTAAGACTTCGTTTGTTTTTCCATGTAACACTAGCATTCTTTAGTTATTTAATTTCATTAGGAATATAAAAAAGCATCAGCACATCATGTTGCATCAGTCTGAAGGTGGTGAACTGATTTTGGGATATTAAAAGCAATTATAATAATATTCAAAGGCCAAAATAACATTTGCGGACTATTTTAAAACATGAAAAAGCCTGTTGTATGGTTCTTATTCCCTACAATATAGTACTGTGTGAATAGTTTCTGCAGTCACATTTGTGTACATAAGAGGTGAAAAAAAAAGTAAAAAAAAAAATTCAAAGGGAAAAAGCGATACATCATGTCATTCAGTGTGGTTTGATGTCAAATGCTCCGTTCTTGAGACACTGAGTCAGAGTTGTTCGCAGCTGTCATCATAGCAACCAGACGTCTGAAGTGTTTACTGTTCTTAAAAGCGCTCTCAGAGATATGTTGTTATGTGAAAGTTACAAATACGCTGCCTGAAATACTTTTTACAATAGTTCTGAGAAGGTGTTGAACTAAAATGTGTTTTTTTTTCATCAATTTAAGGTTGAGAAGTACATGCAGGCCATTAAAATAGTCCCCCAAGAAAACATGTTTGTTCAGATTCGCCACTATTGTACTATCAACATTACATCAACACTCAAGACTCATGTAGATTCACTAATTGTTTTGGGTAGTATATAAATGTACCCGTGACCCCTGGTTCCTGTAACCACCACTGTAAAGAAATCTGAGTCTGTAAGTTTCTCTACATTGAACCATTTCACATCAAACCACTCTGAATGACTTTGTTTACATCTTAACCACTAAATTATGCAGAAATTTTGAAAAATGTATGGAATTCCCCTTTAATGGATTAGTGAGATGTGGCAGTCATCTCACTAAATACTACATCGCAGGCTTCACTGTTTGGGAAATGCGTTTGACCATCTGTCTATTCATGCCTTTAAGTCATCACTCCAGTGTTGTAACTGTACATGAATCAGTCAAGGTCAGAGATTTAAACCCCCATTAGCCATGTTAGTATTTTAGTGTCAAGTCTATTCTGTAAGGTCTGACCTTGCTGTGGGCCACCATTTTGAGTGCGAAGGTGGCCAGGTAGAGAGAATTCATAACAAAACTCAGCTGGTTCCTCGACTCCTCCAGGAAGTCCTCCAAGCCCTCATACCAGAGACGCTTCACATCTGACCACACCATCCCTGCAGACAGAGAGAAAAGATAGAGAGAGAGAATTCTCAATAAGCACCCACACTACCGGACTCTGGGATGCAAACCAAGAATTCCTGTCATTGTGGAATCTCCACGTGCAGATGCTGGGTGAGTTTACCCTCAGCTGTATATGTGGTGGGGGAGAGTCTCACTCAGCCATGAGTCCTGCATGGCTGAGAGAATTTATGTCAGAAAGTTCTCAGATGCATCATCTCCCTCTGCTGTTAGGACCAATAATCCCAGCACTAAATCCAGCCCCACACTGCAGAGTGGGTCAGTAAAAAACATGCCATCAAATTATCCCATCTAATTTTAGTTTAACAGTATAAGAATAATATATTACAAAAAAACAAATGACACATTATTTAATCCTTAAAGTGTTACTTGGGCTATTAACACATAACAGTGAACATTCAGTCACTCAACACTGAGAGAAAAGTAAATAAAAAATAAACAAACAAACAAATAACTAAAGAAAAGCTATATAGCAAGCAGTAATTAGTGTAACAAGGAATTTCAGAAACTGTGAAGAGCCTTAAAGGGCCCATATCCAGTTCACGTGGCTACCCAATACTGATGAAAAGCAGTCATATATACAGTTGTATGCAAAAGTTTGGGCGACCCTGGTCAAATGACTTCTTTTGTTGATTTTCTAAATGAAAATAAGTTAACACTGTCTCCTACAGAGAACACACTCCTGCTCATTTTAACACTTTTTATTTGCTGAATTTAACATTCCAATACGTTAAACTCAAATAAATAGAAATCGTGCACTAAAAATGGCATAAAAACGCCATATGTAAGTTTGTTTTTGAGGAGAATGTGTTATTTTCCCTTTGAAAATCAAACTTACGACTGTAGATTGGCAGAGGGGAGTGAAAGCTGTACATATCTAGAACATATAAGTCAGAGAGGTTGTATTTATCATCTGAATAAAGCTGTGCCTTGCAAATATTGAAGAATAGGGTAGCTGAGACGTCCCAGTCTTCAGCTCTCAACTTTACCTGGAAGTCAGCTTCCGATTGCTATAAAAAGATAATAGGAGGGAAGACATCTAACAAAGTTCCTCTTTTAAACGTCTCTAAATAGGCCTGCTTAGAGTAAGGAAGGTGTATTTAAAAGGTGTGACAAAATAGCAAATATGCCATCAATCCTCAAGTGTTTTATTCATTTAATTCCTGCCTTATGAGAATGAAAACACAGGGAGACACAGGCCAAAGTGAGCTCTAAACTGAATGCAGATGTGTAATCAATCTCTTGGAACAGGGTTGTAAATGGAATGGCCAGAGCTGAAGGTAAGAGAGAGCAACGTACGGTCATCAGAAAAGCTGGTCTGCAGGAATCTGCCTCTGTAACCACTCAGACCACAACAGAACAGAAAATTAGAATGTGCAGCTTGTCTTGCAAATCTTTTCAGGACTTTAATTCTAGATAAATAAGAAATAAACTGCAATAAACATGTCATTTTTATTTACTACTACATATAATGAACCATACTTAACAACTGAAAGTAGGTGCAAACTTTTTTTATAGTGCAGAACAGTTAAAAACAGAAATGAACAATCTATAGATAAACCTGTGGTTTTTGGGGTTGGAAAACAGTACTGAACACTGTTTCACATCCAAATTTCGTGGATATGTGCATCCTGTACACTCGCTCTCACATCTCTGTGTGTCAGACTCTGCTGTTCAGAGTTCAGTAAATATTACAGTCATTCACACTAACAGCAGCAGCGGTTGAGCCGCAGATTTCAGGGCCGGATGGACACAATAGGCCAGACGGTGGCAACCCAAATGCTAAGAAAGAGCCATTTTGTCCTTTCAACAAAAATCAAACCACCTTGGGAGCCACAACATTTTATGTCCATTTTACCATCTTAGCTGTAAATATGTCTCAGTATTTGTTAATGTACTGTATAGGCTAAAAATCCAGGCTTACTTTGCTCTGCTTTAAGCTTTAGCTCAGCTATAGCCACTTTTCTCAGATCTCCAGCAGGAAACTTTTCCACAAAAAAAAGTGTAATAGTGTCTTGTTAAATGTCTTTTAAACATTGGACTTTTTACGAGGCTGAAGTCAGTTTCTCATTCGCCAACTTCTTGTTTTAGTTTTCTTGTTCCACCAGAATGCAAGTGCCGCACCATTTAAGGTGGAACGTGAATGAGAAACTGACTTCAGCTTCACGACTTTTTAGTGTTTGACAGTTTCTTGTTGCAGATTAAACATATCAGGAAACCACCTGGAGTGAATATGAACACAAATAAGTCCATTCATCTTCAAAGTATCGATGTTGTCTCTCAAAGAAAGGAATGACCTCCATGAAAGGTCATTTTGGCTTGGAAAATGCAGGTTTGAGTAATAACTAAATATTTAAATTTGTAGAGAGCTATCTGGAAGTCTGCTGCAGTTGAGGTAGGGCCTTTTCTAGGATGTTTATATAAAATTCCTATCAATAGTTTATTACGAGAAAAAAAAAATGCTGAACGTTAGACTCAAGATCTCAAGGCAGTGTTAGAAGTTAAAAGCAGTGCAGCATCTGTGTACAAAAAACATCATATACTCCCCTATACTGATTTGACATATGCATAACTGGATCTCTGCATACAGCAATAGCACAGGGTTCCTTAGCTTTGGCAAAGAGCAGGAGACAAAGTGGGCAACACTGCCATGTACAATGCAGTACTGGAACGTAGCTTTAGCTGGTTTCACTGGTGTGCAGTGAAGTGAGAGAAAATATGCTACAGGCCAAAAGAAAGAAAGCCACTAGTGACTTTTACATATTTTACAATTACGAAAATTGGTCAACAACCAACATAACACCCTATATTTGCTGATCTATTTAAATCAAAATAAGTTTGTTCCAGTATATTTCATAGGTGTTGCAGGGCAGTACTTTAAATATAATATATTAAATATATAACATATTATAGTGTACTCTACAATAAAGTCTTCAGAGGAATCTGAAAGGAGGAATCAGGTGGATCTGATTAGATCTGAAAATAAAACCCTCAGTAGAAACACCAGGAGCTAAACTCATTAACAGTCGGTTAATGAGAGTACACTATCACTGCAGGCATTGATTCAAGCCTTTTTTAATTACATTAATTAATGATACTGTTGATAATGTACAAAATCAATGTATAAAAAAAATACTTTCGCTTCCAAACATTTGGCCTATACTGTATACAGCTGCGTAATACTCAAGATGCATATGATATCAGAATGATATCCGTAGCAGCAGATAATTGAAAGAAATTTTGCAACATTACTAATAAACATTGAAATATTTCCTTATTTAAAACCACAACTATTTTACTGTAACATATTCTGTACGTCTATGATTTTCTCCCACAAAGTTTTAAAACCATACACATTTACACTAAATGGTGTCTTTGACGTTAGAGCTCATGGTTGCTCATGTTTTGCTCATGTTTTTCCTTTTAATGCCGTGAGATTCGAGCTTCATCATAATCAACACCACTGTAGGGCTCCACTGTGAGGTACTGATGAACTTTTTAGCAGAATGGGCCGTTACTCAGCGTCTGCATCTTTGAGTTGCACTGGCTAAAAGAAAAATGGTAGCTTTGTCATTATTACTGCTTGATAAATCCATTTTTTCTTCCTATCCATCTTAGTGAAAGTTTGAGGGCATAAAAACCATCCACTTTAAAACTAAACCATTTAAAATAAAACCTGGAATGTTGTGCATCATGGATCGGAGCGCAGATCACTCATACACACAAAATGGATAAAAGAAAAATGATAAATTCTACCTATCGATTTCATGGCTGTAATGGATAATTACTGATAAATCGATTAGTGGTATCCAACCTAGATATTATCAGGCAGCTGATACATCCATCAAGCACTGTTAGAGAACTCCCTCTGGGTGGAGGATGTTCTTGGTTCACTTCTAAACAAACTCCAGTGCAATTTGTTTGAATTATGAATGCAAAACAGACAAAATACAGCTAACCAGACCAAACACAGAGTAAATGATTGTCTTTTCTCTGCCAAACTGCTTTGGTACGTGCAACAGATGATTATCTGAAGCTGATTTGACATGTGGACATGTTCTTGAGAGCGCCGAAAGGGAAATAATGGAATGGATATTTTCAGTTTTTGGGGTGGAAACATGTTTGAAACTATTATAAAATACTCAACACGCATGTTGTTTGACACACATGAAATGTTATGCATTAATGCACCACATTTCGACATTTTACAAACAATAATCCACTGGAGGTGCTGCAGGGATTTAACCTCACTACACAACATGGGACAACAAAAGCTTATGGCTTTAGAATATTACAAGACACACATTAAACCCACAAGCTCAGTTAGAGCACAACATGGTTCACAAAGTTTGCTGGAATTATGATTCCAACTCATGTACTGGTGCCAAATGTATGTCATAAAATCTGACCAGTCAGTTCTGATTTTTTACCAATATGATTTTTTTTTTACATCTTTTGGTTCAATTATCAAATATTTGAGTGTGAATGCTAAGTGAACCAGAACTAAAACGCAACAGCACATCATTTTCTGCTTTGGTCTGAAGCAAAGAAACTAAACTACATATGTAAATGAAATCTCTCAAAGAAACAAACAGCATAAACAAGTGCACTTTCAGTGAACCTTGAGAAAATTACACTTCATGCAGCAGCTCCTACGTCTCTTTGTAAGCACATACCTGGAAGCTCTTTAAACTGTGTATAACTCAGTGCAGGTGAGGTGAAAAAAAAGTGAACCTAAATGAATTATCTTCAAACAGCTCAAACTGAAAGTTAGAAAATTGTGAAAAAACATTTCTTACTCAACCTTTTTCAGCATGTGTATAAATATGCTCGTAACTAGACTAAGGGTTTCTGTTCTGATCTCTGTCTGACCTAAAAAGAAAAGAAGCCCTGCAGTAACAGACACTAATGAGGCCTCAGAGCTGGAACTGACAACACAAATCTTTAAAAAAGTGCTAAAATGTCATCAAAGATT